TCAGCATTTCACAATATTATTGCTAATTGTCTCCTTCGTTGTTTATCCGTGAAACTAATTTTTATAGAAAAACTAGTTAATTTTCAAAAATTTATAATTTTTTGTTTGTAAATATAATAAATTTGGTGATTCTTAATAATACTAAAATTAAATATAATCGTTTATTTTAATAACTTGCTTATTTTAGATTTTAATAGTATGCATTTTTTCAAATTGTTGTTTAGCTAAAGAATTATTCCAGAAAGTTGCATAAAAACATTATTATTTTGTTTATAAGTTCATATTTACGAACTAATTAAAAATATTATTTGAGAAAAAAAAATTTGTAAAATTTGAGTTTTGCATACTTATTTTATACTGATTCTTAAATAATCGAAGTTACTTCGGTATATAAAAAGTATTTTCATACTTACATTTATATATTGTTCTTTGTTATCATGATGATAATCCTAAAATAGCACCAGCTCGTTCGTCTGCTCCTACGTCGAGGAAAAACTAGGAAACGAAAGTCTGCGCCTAAAACTTGGATACAGAATGTGAGAAAGAAACAATATGATCAATCGTATAAAAATAGAAAGGGAGAAAATGTTTCAATGTAAATCTGTAACCAAAAAGAAGGGCTGTTAAATTTTTTTAAATTTAAATACACACAAAACTTCAGTGATGAAAAATGAACGCGTATATTTGTTGATTTTTAGTTTCTGATATGTTACCCAAAAATCAGAGTAATCTAACAAAAGACCAGGAAATTCTAGTATACAAGAGGTTGATAATATCCATAATCAAATAAAGCACACGCTCTTGTTAAAATAATCAGTTCCCTTTGGTTTAATTAGAGCAATTCCCTTCAAAAAAAAATTTTTTCTGTCTACCAAATGAAGAAACTGAATTTCAAACATTTTTTAGCTAATGCAGGCTTTTTTAATTTTAAGCTTGTTCCCTATATTTAGATAAAGCATCTAGCATTTAGATCATGTATCCTACAGAAAATCATGTTATAATGTTTCTTCAAAAACATGAGTTAACAATCTATGATCTTAGTCATGGCAAAGATTCTAATGTTTTTTGCCTTGAATAAGGGTGTTCAAATTTCAAATGATAAAGCCAATTTCCTTCAAAATCTGTTCAAGTATATACCTACTTTAAAAATTGCATTTAATGAATATTTTAAAATAATTTATTGTATTGTCAATATATATATATATATATATATATATATATATATATATATATATATATATATATATATATATATATATATATATATATATATATATATATATATATATGTATGTAAATATATGTATATATATATATATATATATATATATATATATATATATATATATATATATATATATATTATATCTTATGTTGTTTAATGGGCTTCTTACTGAAATGTTATAATTTTAGTGGCCTTACTAAAGGTGTTGGTTAACTAATTATTCTTTAAGATATCTTTTTATTGTGCAATGTATTTTAGATGTTGTGCTTTTAGAACTTGTAACTAAAGTTTTATTTTGTTGTGAAGATCTTGGTACATACTTTAGATAATATATTACTTATCTTCTCTGTTGAATTGAATTTTAGACAAAGTAGTTTATGTAATTTGTTCACTAGTGTAATATAAGATTTTTTTTTTCTAATAAAACAGATACATTACATAACAGTATTTTAATTGCAAAAATATACAATCATCTAGCAACAATATATATAAAAAATACTAGTTTGTCTTATATTTTTTAACAGAAAATGGAGATAACACTGAACAAAATAACACTGTATTTTATAAAATAAGTGTGTGTTACATTGTTCTATCTCCAAATCTATTTGAATCACTAACTTGAAAAAGGAGATATGTCCTTCAAAAATTCACATAACATGTCGCTTTTTTCAAGTTAGAGATTCATTTGCACTCAAGAGCGCTGTCGTCTTAGAACTATTATGCTGACCGTTGCACAGTCGAGTATTTGACCAAAAAAGTCGGTCAAAAGTATTTCTTTGAAGTTACCGCAAAAACAAAAGAATCTTTAAAGTTTCCGCGAAAAAAGTTTTTTTTTAATATAGTGAATTGTTTATAAAATATATATATTTAACAAGTATATTTGTAATTGAAAAAAGCATATTTATAAATATAAAAATATATTTAATTATATTTCAAATAAATGTATATATATATATATATATATGGAAATTTAAAGTGATGGTTATTGTGAAACAAAGTTTGTCAAATATGTTATTATTATCTTCACATTCAAAACACTTTTTTTAATTTCTCCACCGTTCTCCAAGCTGATTTTTTCAACATTCGATGACTTGATCTATATTCTTGATACACTTAAAAAACCAGCTGGCATAAATATACTTTTATGGAATGTACACAAAGGGTGTATTTATAAAACAATTATTTTTTCGAAGTAACTTTATTGAAACTGTTTTTAAGGATTTTATTTTAATTAATTATTATTTTTTTAATATTTCACTTTTATGAACTATATATATTTTTATATTTATAAATATACCTTTTTCAATTACAAATATACTTGTTAAATAGGGGAAGACGGGGCAACATGGCGAACGTTTCGAAAATCTTTGTTTCCTGCAAGACTACCAGTCATAGCTCACTAATATTTTGTCAGTATGTATTTGATACCCTAATCTTTTAATATTCGCCAAGGTATTTAGTTAATTACAATAAAAACATACCCAAATAAACAAAATAAAAAAGTCCTTAAATTTTTCATCTTGCCCCGATAGTGGGGCAAGATGACTGAAACTGCGTTTTTCAATTCACAATCAATTAGACATTGGAAAATGTAACTCAATTAACTGCAAAACAAAGCCAGGTTGCTCATTTTTTATCTAATTGGGGTAGCTGTACCCATTGCACCTAATAATATTTAACGCCCTATAAATATGCCAATAATTTACTGCAGTTTAAAACTGAATACACTTGAAATAAAGTTGACTAACCTTACACTATATAGCCAAATCACTGACTAACAGCAGTTTTAAATCTCATAACATGAAAACAATACAAACTTAAAACTATAACACAATGCAAAATAAAACACACTCGATACCAGTAATACAAATTTAATAACAAAAAATTTATAAAATACATATTTTTTTGTCCCACATCAACAGGAAACTTAAAAGTCAATTAAACAAAAAATATATATACATATAAACAAATATATATATATATATATATATATATATATATATATATATATATATATATATATATATATATATATATATATATATATATATATATATAACACACAGAAAAAAATATATACACTAATCTATTAATTTAACTTTACACACAGATACCTACAAACATGTATACAAAAAATATATATACATATATACAAATATATATATATATATATATATATATATACATATATATATATATATATATATATATATATATATATATATATATATATATATATATATATATATATATATATATATATATATATATATATATATATATATATATATATATATATATAGATGGCAGACTCGTAATCTTGCCCCGATCAACTTGCCCCGCTGACACAATTATTCTAATTCCATCAATAACTCTATTACTCTACAACAGCTGCACAAACATTTACTATAATAATATTAAAAAATGTTTTTTGTACCAAATAATAGTTTTGCAGCATGCAAAAGGCAGCGTAGCCTAAAATAATAAGGACCAAACTGAAAAAAAAAAATTATTTTAAAAATCTTAAAAATAGACTTTTGTGAATAAATCCACGGGGACAATAACTACAAAAACCAAATGTTATTTAAAATAAGACCCATATAGACAGTTTTCATTACTATCTATTTAAACTATTCATTATTGAGCGGTTCGGCTAGAAAAAGCAATTCGTCATCTTGCCCCCTTCGCCATGTTGCCCCGTTCTCCCCTATATATTTTTAAAATATTTCACTCTATTTAAAAAAAACTTTTTCGTGGAAATTTTAAGGATTTTTTGTTTTTGCGGTTACTTCAAAGAAATACTTTTGATCGACTTTTTTGGTCAAATACTCCACTGTGCGTTGTGTAAACTAATTCCCGACTTTTTTTATATAATAGTTTTTTCTTCGTTAAGGGTTTGGTTAGCATAATTTGGTCCATAATCTTTCAGGTTCATTGTTTCACATTAGTTGAACTTTGTTACCAAATCAATAAACTAAAAAAAGGAAAAACATTTATTCTGAAATTATTTGAGTTCAGACATATATCATTTGAAAATAATATGATTCTGATGTTCAAAAACTAAACTTTTACTTTCTTAAAAGATACATTTGTCGTTCATGATTTAAATGATGTCTCGAAAAGAAAATTAATTTTTTATATAGTCAAGTTATTAAAACACCATTTCAAACTCAAGTTACAAACATAAACCTGGAGCTCAAAAGAGAAAACTCAAAAATGATTTAAGATAAAAAGAATCTCAAAGTAGTCAATCAATAATCGAATCTTTGCGATATGGAAACAAAGATTCTTCTAATGGTAAAATTAAGGATTGCTGAAAGCATAACTGTAGAATTGATTTCAGAGCTGAAAATCATTTTGAAATAGATTTAATAGGTGAAAAATCAGACAAAGGAAATGGGCATGGATTCACTGCTTCTGATGAGATAAGACAAAAGATAAGTCTAACAATAGTGTGGCTAAAAAAGAATTAAATGCAGATGATACTCCTAATTCTAATGTAATCAAAAAAACTGATATAATTCTTGATGACCCTGGTAGATGGCCCAAATTGATTTCAGATTGACAGCGCCAATGTATAGTAACAACTTACAGCCTTGGGGAAGTTAGGCAGATATATGAATAATTACCTAAATTTTTATTGATTTTTCAAAAATATTTTGCGAAGAAAAAATATTTTGCCTATATAAAAGTATTTTTTTCCCGCAAAAAAAACCCGCAGATGGGCCCAGCATAGGGCCCTGTTTTAGAATGTGGGGGCCATGGCTGTTGTAAAAGAGTTTCAATGCAAAACTAAGTGATGTAACAAACATTGGTTATTTGTTGAATTTGTTGAATTAAAAGTTGTGGAATTAAAATTTGTTTAAAAAGTTTAAACAAAGCGGACTAAGACTTTCCACGGATAACAAGTCCAAAAAAGTAACGGAATTCGCGATAATACGCGCTATGATTATTTTAACATTTGGAAGTTTTATATAAGACTTGTTAATGGCTTCATCTGTTCTGGTTTTTGGTTCATCACAGGTTAGGATACACATCCACATAAGTGTGTGGAGACCATCGATGTTTATAAACCAAGCAATCTTTGTTGAGAAATCTTTTTTGTTTTTTGATTAATAGTCATTAAGTATGACATAAGTTATAACCTGGTTTGTGTTTATTTTAATGGGTTTTTTTTAAATTGCTAAAACAGGTGACTGGAGTTATCAATGAAATTCTACCGTCAATAAGTTCCATAAAATCTTGTTTTTGTAACAAAAAAATACCAAAAACTTGTAAGCTTAAAGAAAACAAGTACAATGGGGAATTTATCACTTCAAAAACAATAAATATCAAAAAAAGAGAGGTAATATTAATAAAATTAACTTCTTTATTTTCAAAACAGTGGTTCTAAATTTAAGGGTTGAGCTAAAAATATTGCTCAGCCCGACCAGTTTGCCTTGTTTTTCCTAAAAATGTAATTTTCCTATAAAAAACTAACTATCGGAAAGTATATAATAATATACTTATTATATACTCTCCTATAATAATAATAATAATAATAATAATAATAATAATAATAATAATAATAATAATAATAATAATAATAATAATAATAATATGATAATAATAATAATGATAATATAGTAATAATAATAATAATAATAATAATAATAATAATAATAATTTATTATTTAAACTCAATTGCAGTTGAGCATCTTTGCCTTTACAATTTATAAAACAAAATAAAGATATTATTATTGTTCTTATATGTTCTATAACCACCGGTAGCGATTCCAGAGTGCAACTAAAAACATATACTATTCATGTCTTAAGACCATTATTGATTGAAAAACTTGTTGCAGAAGGTAAAATGTCCTAAGCACCAAAACACATCTAATTTGTATGAAACTTTCCATATATATTAAAAAATGATGAGGAGTATTATGGAATATTGACTCTTTTTAACATGTAGTTTTTTAATTCTCAGTGTTTAAGGTTAATTTTGACAAAATTAAACTTCAAGGATATTCAAGGATATTCATTGTTTGAACGAGAAAGAACTTATGGCAAAGGTGGTGGTGTTTGCATATATGTCAAAGACTTAATAAAATCTTTTGAAGTTTCAAATAGTGTGCTGCAAAGCCAACAAATAGAACAAATATGGTGTAACATAGAAGTTGGAAATGAATCAATACTATGTGGCTGCATTTATCATCCCGGAATAAGTGGCATTCAAAATTGTATAAAAATTACAGCATCAATGAAAGTAAAATATGAAATGATATCCAATATTACATATAGTGGCATTCTTTTAAATGGGGATTTTAACTTAGCAAAAATAGATTGGAGTGAGGAATTTTTTGCCCATCTGCAAGAACCAAATGAAATTGCTAGTATGTTTATAGACTGCTTAGACGATTGTTATTTGTTTCAAAATATAAATAAGCCAACGTTTCAAGTGGATGATATAACTGAAACTAATGTCTTAGATTTAGTAATAACCGAAAATAATTTGCGAATATATAAGCTAGAACATCATCCACCGTTAGAATCGATTAAACATGGTCATCACGTTTTAACATATAATTACAAGTACAGTTCATCTGAAGAAATATTAGCAGAGTTTAACAAAAAAAAATACATCTTTAATAAAGGAAACTATGATGAAATTAATAAATACTTTAATAGTACTGACTGGTCAAGAATATTTGAAAATTTGAACGCTAATGAGTGAACAAAAAATGGTTAGAACATTATAAAATTATTTGTAATGTAAATATACCGTTAACTAAATCAAATAAAAAGAAAAGAGCACCTTGGTTTAATAAAAGTCTATCGGAAATGATTAAGGCAAAAAAATTTTATGGATAAAATGTAGAAATGCAAAATTTAGAGATCAAGAACTTGGGGCGAAATATAAAAGTATAAAAAACACAAATGCTAAGAAGAATCCCAAAATAGTTTACCAATATATGAATAATAAAACTCAAACTAAAGATTATATTCGAGCTATTGAGAATAATAATGGAATAGTTACGACCAACACTTTCTGAGATTGCTAACAAACTAAACAATTTTTTCAGCTCAGTTGTTACTATTGAAAATAAAAACCTCCCAGAGTTTCCAAAACAGTGCGATTTTTTATGCCCAAATCCTACATTCGATATTGAAATAGTTAGTAAGAAGCTTGCAACTCTGAATGTTTATAAATCAACTGGAGTAGACACAATACACCCTAGAGTTTTTAAAGAATGTTGCAAAAGTATTTCAAAACCACTATCAATTATTTTTGATCGATCATTTTCAAGTGGCATTGTTCCATGTTTATGGTTATGTGCAAATATTACCTCTCTGTTTAAAAAAGGAGATAAATTAAAAGTAAAAAATTATAGGCTGGTATCACTCACATCAATAGTGTGCAAAGTGATGGAAAGAATGATAAGAGACACACTAATGAATCATCTGACTAAAAATAATATACTCTCTGACTCTCAACATGGTTTTGTATCATCCAAAAGTTGTTGCACAAATTTACTTGAAACATTTGACATAATAACTCAGGCACTTGAGGAAAATTTATCAGTAGATATAGCTTTTTTAGACTTTGCCAAAGCCTTTGACCTTATTAAAACTACAATCCTATGGGATCCAAGAACAATTATTATGTTTGTTTAAAAGTTTTCTAAGCAGACGAACACAAAGAGTGGTTCTCAATGAGATAACCTCTGAGTGGAAAAAAGTAATAAGTGGATCCGCATATCGGCAAAAGAAATTTAAAATATAATTACTTAATTTGTAGCACATTCGATATAATTCAGCAAAATGCTTTAGTTATGGAAGAAACCGCGTTAGAGAGCGATCTTGGTGTAATAATATCAAACGACGTCAAATGGGAAAAGCATATTAACACAATTGCGGCAAGGGCTAATAGAAAGCTCTGTCAGATAAAGAAATCTTTTTGTCGATTCAATGAAATTTTAATGAAACATTTATACACGTCGTTGGTTCGTCAAAACACCTGGAGTTTGCAGTGCCGGTATGGAACCCTTACTACCAAAAGGATATTGATAAAATTGAAAAAATACAACGTAGGGCTACTTGAATAAATAGTTTAAGAAGCTTTTGCTATGAAGATAGACTGAAAAAATTTAACTTGACTACTTTAAAAACAAGAAGAGAAAGAGGCAATTTGATTCAATTTTATAAAATAAGTAAAAATATGGATAAAGTTAAATGGAATCATTCTCCTAAAATAATTAAATATGCAATAATAAGAGGTCATACTCAGAAAATACAAAAACAATTCACATATTCTACCACAAGATTTAACTTCCTTACAAACAGAATAGTTAACAATTGGAATAATTTAACCGAGGAGATAATTAATTCTAAAAATGTTAACATCTTCAAAAACAAGTTTGATCTTTTCGAAAAAAACAAAATAAAAATATAAAACAAATAAAACAAAAAATATTTATATAACATTTAAAAAGGGAAAAAAAAAAACTTTTGCAACGGCTGTCAAAGTTTTAACATCTACAGATGTTAGACTCACACATTGTATGTGTACAGCAAAAAATTTATTAATTAATTAAAAAGGTTAATTTTTTCAAAAAAGCATCAGTTTTTTCAGCACAGAAAATGAAATAATTTTGAACATTTAAAGTTGAAAGACCCTTTCTTTTTTTAAGTCTTTTTAAGCTCTCTACAACTATGTTAATCATAATAATTTATGACCCTTTCTTTTTTTAAGTCTTTTTAAGCTCTCTACAACTATGTTAAAATAAATTGACAAAATTGCCTCTTTTTATCATGTTTGGTATTTTCTAACTTCTGATTCTATTCTCTACCTTTAAGTCTCTTATTCATCATCATTGATTACTGTTTTTACGTTTAGACTTGTTTTTAAAATAATATTTCTTTGCTAGACAAGATCCAAAAACATATTGTAAGTTGTTGGACCTGCTCTACCTCAACCTCTGTTGTCCTATCATGTTGCATCTCTTTTTGTCATTTATACAAATACTGAGATGGTTGCTTCTTAAATGAGCTATCATTTCTGATTCTTCATTTAGTAAAGTCATATCCTTTTACTGTATCTATTCTTTCATACTGTAAAAACTTTTATTCCTCAAGCTTTTTTCCTCACACATCAATGCTTTATAATTTTCTCACGTTTTTGTGTTTTCTTGACTGATTGACAGTTTTCTGTCTTTCTTGCACTTTAATTTAACTCTTATTTTTTAATTAAACTCCAAACTTAAATGCTTGCAGCCTTGTTAGGAGTAAATTATATTTAAAAAAATTAAAAAATAAGATATTATCAACAGATAACAGATTTTTTGGAAAATCATAAGCTTTTTCACACATTGCAGATCGAATGAAAGAGCTTTTAACAATGGCATGGAAACTAAATCTAAAGAGTGCTTGAAATTATTTTTTCGTTTGGTTGCTTCGGAAAAACAGTTAAAATCTTAGACTTTTATGATTTTTTTGCAGCTTTTGTTGCCTGTGTTAGTATAGTAAAAATAATTATTTATTGGCAATGTCTCAGAGCTAATGTTACACCTATTTATAAAATTGGTAGCAGAACAGATCTAGCCAATTACAGGCCCATATCGCTCACTTCTGTTCCATGCAAACTTATGGAAAAAATAGTTAGACAAGTAATAATCAATCATTTGGTAAATAACAATTTGCTTTTCATGGTTTTGTTTCAAAAAAGACTTGCATCACAAATCTTGGACTTTTTGACTTTTAGCGAATCAAAGAAAAAACTAGTCGACCTAATTTTTCTTGACTTAGCATAGACATTTGATAAATTTTCGCATGTAAGATCGCTGCAAAAAATGTATGATATAAATGGCAATCTTCTAAACTGGTTAAAAGCCTTCTTAACAAACTGCAAGCAGCGTGTTATACTTGGAGAATCAAAATCTGACTGGATTGATGTAACTAGCGAGGTTCCCCAAGGTACTGTGTTAGGACCAACGCTCTTTGTCATATTTGTTAATGACCTGCCAGTTCATGTCAAATTAGCCATTTGCAAAACGTTTGCAGATGACATAAAGCTCGTGAAAGTTGTTGAAAATGATGAAGACTAAGCAGGTTTACAATCCGACCTAGACGAGATTGTTAAATAGACGCACACCTGGCTAATGAAGTTAAATGTAAAAAAATGTAAAGTTATACATGTAAATTCTGGAACAATAAAATTTGATTACATTATGGATGAAATCAAAAATAACGGTACAACCAATAGAGTAGTTTTAAAAGTCACAAATTCTGAAAAAGATCTCAGAATTCTAATCTCCAAGAATCTTAAATATGCTCAACAGTGCAATATAGCTGCAAACAAAGCAAATAATATGCTTGGAATTTTTAAACACACGTTTGTATCAAGAGACATTAACATTTGGAAAAAAATTTATACTGCATATATTAGACCACATCTGGAGTTTGCCATACAAGCCTGGAACCCTTACCTTGATAGTGACATAAAAAAAATTACCTTGATAGTGACATAAAAAAGTTCCTCATGCTTTGAAAAAATAAAGGCTAAAAAAAAGGCTAAAAAAAAAGGCTAAAAAAAAACTTGATGTAAAATCGTGAAATTAACTACTCTTGAAGACAGACGGAAAAGAGGCGATCTTATTCAAAAATATAAGCTTCTCGACAATTTAAACCTAATTGGTTGGTACGTAATGCCTGGCAGCATAGCACCCAGAGCTCAACATCGAATCAGATTTCATTGCAAGATTTTTTAACAACTATGTAGTCAATGACTGGAATGCTTTGCCAAATAATGTCATTGAGGCAACATCAGTTGATAAATTTAAACAACTACTAGACAGTTTTCAGTCATCATAGTTGCTACAACTCATCATTTACCAGAAAATACCATGCAAAAGTGGCCGAAATACGAGTTGGGTATAGATGTGTATACTCAGCTGATGATAAGTTTAACAAGGCTGTTGCTTTGTGTAACTTAAATTAACTAACTAATGTTATACCAGTAAATCGGTAAAACAATTTACAGATTTACCAGCAAATTTTTAGCAAAAGCTTAACCCTAGTTAGCGCAAAATCTTTACAACAGTTCAAAAAAGTTTATGATAGGATAAAGCAAAGGATTAAAAGTATTAAAAGAATACGTTAAAAAATAGCTGTTGAATAGTTTGATTGACACTCGCTGTCAATCAAACTATTTGATGATGATGGTTCCTCTACCAGCTGTAATATTAAAATAATACAATATCATACACGTTTAAAAGAATATTATATATTAGGGAAAACCAAAGGCAATCAGGTGTAAAAAAAATTACTTGTGTGTGCTTTAGTGTGGATTTTTGTGGGTTGTTTTTTGTTTTGTCTAATATTTTGTTGTTACTATTGTTTTGATTTATAGTTTATTTTTATTTATTTGCAGTCTGGTTTAAAAAATTTTCATGAATTGGGTTTGCATTATCTACCTTCTGACTGGATAAATTTTATTCAAGTTCCAAATTCAAAATGGTCTTCTGAATTTCTTTTATTAAAAAACTCTTCAAATCATTGGAATGTTTCTCACATATCAAACAACACTTTCTTTGAAAACAAACATGGTAAAAATTAAATTTTATTTTTAATTACAAAAATATAAAAATTGTTTTGAACCATAACTTTTTTTAAAATTTAAATGACTCTGCTACTAGTCAATATTTGATTCTCTTTTGATTGTTTTTTATAATATTTTATTCTTTTAAAATTTCATTATTTTTTATAATATTCTATTCTCTATATATCTCTGTTGAGACTTGATTGAAACTGTTGTCAGACAGTTAGCACATTTATATGCAAGATTTTTTGTGATGTAACCTGGTATATTAATGGAGACTTCATAAGAGTCATGAAACTGCTCATTTTCTTGAATATCATTGCTCAATTTTTTAATTTTAATAAAAGGTCATTTCTGTCAATTTTTGTATCAGATTTTTGTATCGGATTTATTTTCAATTTATGTATCGGATACCCATGTATCGGATTTCAGATTGCTTGTCCATCTATTAACATTGGATCTCCCATGATATCTTTTCAGAGTTTTGAACTTTGCGTAAACTGACTAAAAAATCTTCCAACACTCATTTAGCGATAGTTACTGAAATTTTTCTTTATTTGAAATGCCTTTCTAATGGATCAGTTAGAAACCTGCTATTTAGAACATACTTATATCCTTCTGAAAATAAATCTTCCATCAGACTCACAGTATCCTTCAGTGTTGTAATTAATGCATTAGTTGTTTCAACAGACAAAGTATATTTATTTTAAATTGTAACTTTTCCATATACAATCTATGTTGCCATATCTCAAATAAACTGATTTTTTATCTCCTGGAATAGTTCCATTACCAATCCTATTGTTTGTGTAAAACATTACCTTTATGAATAGTCCACCAAATATTCAAAAGCTTTAGAAATCCAGCAGCTGCAGTTTCTTTTGGAAAATAACTGATGATTGCAGCAGAGGTGCTTTCATCAAAAATATTTAAAGCTAAAGAAACACTTTGATTATTATTTCCAGGATGTTTGTGCAGATAACTTTAAAGTTTTTTTAAGTTAGCAGGAGTTCATCTTTTTTTTAAATTTTATGCAATAAACTCCAAGAAATTTGGCCAGCTTTAACATTAATAATATCATCAAATTTGTTGAAATCGAAAGATGGAAATACAAACCGTTTTAAATTTAATAAATTATTCCTAATATTTTATAGTAAGTGAACTCTGTCTTATAAATTATAAACCTTTTGTCCCATAAAAGTAAAAAATATCTCATTATCTTGTTTACCAAATTTCAAAGGTTGTATCTTGAATGCTGAAACATTTGTTGCATGATTATCAGTAATCGATTTTTTTAAGCTAACCACTATGAACACAACTATACCTATCATTTTACAAAAGTAATAATAATCCTGATATTGGTTCAATGCCACTTGTAAGGGTTTTCTGTCCAATTTAAGCAAACGGTTTCATGTAAAAACCAAAATCATTTTTAGTTGGAATTATACTTTCTCGCATTTTCATGTGTGCTTTTTTTTGTTGAGATTAGTTTGATCATTTTTTATTTACATTTTTTTTTTTTAAGAAGTAGGACTGAATTATCACAGATGCTACTAGTCACCAGTGATGGTTCATTGGTGTCAAGCAGCTTTTCACTGAGAAAGATTTATCACTTTGTTTTATCGCATCATTTTATCGCAACATAATTGATATTCCCATTAAAGTTAAACAATTTTAAAGTTAAGGTTGTTGTGAAAATCTGTCTATATTAACTTTTGAAACTACCTCTGAAATGCAAATACCTGAGCTGGTTATTTTTTCATCTTTTTGAGTGGTTTGAAGAGTATGATCCATTTATACATAACTATTAAATTACAAAATTAGTTAAATGAAATTGATGTAAAATATAAAACTAGTTAAATCAAATTGATGTAACCGTCAACAAATAATGTATGTTACACAGCCAAGTCATAAATTAACAAAAACGCCTACAGTGTAGAGTTTTTTGTCAGATTACCCGCAACATATCGTGGGTATTCTGGAAAAAAGTGTTAATTTAAAAATCTATGTTAAGAGAAATTAATCATTCAAGTTTTCTTTCAATTTGAAATTTTTATAATCTTATTAAACGCTTTTGTTTTTAAACAAACAAACAAAAATAAAAGAATTGGAAAGTTAAATCGGATGAAAAGATAAAAGGATTCAAATTTAATTACTGTTTTTAAGTTGTTAAAAATAGTAATAATAATAATAAAAAAATACAAGATATATTAAATAGTTAAAATAGACAAAATTTATTTAAAAATAAATTAAAAATTAATTAGTTAAAAATTAATTTAAAAATAAATTAGTTAAAAATCAATTTAAGAATAAATTAGTTAAAAATTAATTTAAAAATAAGTTAGTTAAAAATTAAAAATTTAGAAATTAATTAGTATAATAACATAAAAAAGACTATTTATAAGTATAGCAAAAATTATTTGTATTGAGAAAATATAACCCAATAACAGGTTTTCATAATGCTATTTTCATTAACTAATTCCAAAGACATTTTGGAATAATTAAAGTAATTTTTTACAACTTAATAATCTTTCTGGCAATAACCTGTTTTAAAGATCAGGAATTTAGTACCAGTAAGATTACCTTCTAAAGTTAACATGTTATGCATACTTGTACCCATAATTAAATCAGGGGATTTTATATTAAATTTTTCTTTTAATTAAATATGTATGTTTGTTTTATGATAAAAAGTTTTTTTTTAAGCTTTTTGTGATTCCATTTTTAATTTGTTTTTTATTGAAAACAAGTGTTTACCTTATGCATTTTGCATTATATGATTTAATTAAATTAAGAGAATAAATTTTATTTGAAAAAGAGATTAGTTACCGCAGCTGTTATGCTCTAACTCTGGCTCAACAAATATGTTAAGTTTGATTATTAAAAATGCATTTTCATATTATTTGAATATATTTGTTTCTAGGCTTACTTGCAAAAAGAAGCTTTTATGGTATTTTAAGTCGACATTATTCTACAACCAGTAAAGCTATACATAGTAAGTATTATTTAATATGTATTAAACTTATATAATTGTTATTTATTGTTTATACTCTTATTTGAATCCCAAACTTGCTAATATTACCAGGGGCTATTCTTGACCCTTTTCAACAACATTAAACATATTTGGGTCACTTTTTTTTTTTTTTTTATGGCAAATGTTGAGTTTTTTTTTAATGGCAATAAAATCCTTTTATACATCAATGTTTCCGCATGATGTTATTGATTTGTTTGTTTATTTACAAAATCTATCTTTTAAACAAACAAAAATATCAATGACATCATGTACTAAAACTCGAAGGAATAAAACACGCTTGAAGAAATTAAATCTGTATATTGTAAACTTTAAATTTATTTAAAAGCAATTCATTCATTGCAATGGCTTCTAATTGGCTGGGAAAAACTATGAAAAAAATAAATGAGGAGAAAATGTTCATTGTATAAAGATTTTACAATATATATATATATATATATATATATATATATATATATATATATATATATATATATATATATATATATATATATATATATATAAATATTTTTAAGAATCTTTAGTAAATTTACCTATAAATCATTCATACATTTATTACATTTGCAGTCAAAAGTTAGGAGAAGGTAAATAAAAAGATTTAAAGAAAAAAAAGTGACTAAATGCAGTTAATAGAAAAAATAATCTCAGTGAAATATAGCAATTATTATATATTTTTATATTATTATAAAAATAATATATTAAATAATTTTATTAAAGCAATAATAAAATAATAAATTCAATCATTTATGAAAAAAGGTTTTTAACCACCAGTAAAATAAAAATAATTTTAAAGAAGTGAAGCAAAAAAAAAATATTTTCGTCAATGAAGCAAATGAAAGAAGCATGTCGTAAACAATAAAACTATTTTAAACGCTTATTAAAAATTGAAATGATTTTATGAAATTTTAGTATATGCTTTTCCTAAATATCATCATAGTTATTTGTAAAACATTGTTTTTAAAAACTCTGATTTTTTTTTCAATTGGTCAAACAATTTTTTTTTAATCGGTCAAACACAAAAAACCATTGTTATCACCAAGTTTGCTAAACCTCATCATTCTCTAATATTCGTGGTCTTCAAAGTAATTTTTCTTCTGTTGAGTCTTATCTCTTGCAAAGTTTACCAGACCTACTTGCTTTTTGTGAGACTAATTTGAGTTCAGTTGTCTCATCTTATGATCTTAGTGTTAATGGTTATCTTCCTTTAATTTGTAAAGACCTTAATAGTCACATGCTTGGCCTAGGCATTTACATTTGTAAGAATTCACCCATTTGTCGGGAAACTAGGTTTGAATCCACAGACTACTCTTTTATGTGCTTTTGTTTAGCACCACTTCACTCTATCACCTTTCTCTTTGTTCTATATCACTCTCCTTCATCTTAAGACTGCACTCTTCTTAATGTTATTTCTAATCATATTGACCGAGCCTTCTTTCTTTATCCATCAGCCAATATTGTTGTTGTCGGTGACTTTAATGTTCATCACACTGAATGGGTTGGCTCTAGTGTTAGTGACACTGCAGGCATTAAAGCCTACAACTTTAGCCTTTCTCAATCCCTAACTCAAATAGTCAACTTTCCAACTCGCTTTCCAGACAACCCAAATTATTTACCTTCTCTACTCAACTTATGTCTTGTTTCTGATCCTAGTCAGTGCTCAGTTTTTCCATAATCATCCCTAGGTGCCTCTGATTACAGTTTGATCTCTCTTAAACTATAGACCTCTGATTACAGTTTAATCTCTCTTAAATCAGATTCCCCCTATCATCATACATCTTACAACTACCTTGAAGCTGACTGGGACTCTTTCCATGATTTTCTTTGTAATGCCCTTGGGTAGAAATCTTTCGTCTTCCTGTTAACAAATGTGCTTCTTACATAACTTTGTATTTTCAGACTGGCATGGAATCCTTTATTCCCTCTTGACGATTCCAGGTCAACCCTCACTCTTCTCCTTGGTTTTCCTCACATTGTGCTGCTGCAATTGCCAATCGAAACCATTACTTCCATATCTATCAGTAAAACAATTCACCAGAAAACAGACGTCTGTTTATTATTGCTAGGAACCATTGTAAAAAGGTTTTGTCTAATGCCAAAGCTCACTATTCTCAGGTCATGAAATCTCGTATTTCATCGCAAAAATTAGGCTCTTGTGACTTTAGGAGAATCTTTAATAATATCAATAATAAGGGCAAATCTGTAATTTCATCTCTTTTGTATGGTTCAGACTTTGTCACCTCACCTAAAGACAAAGCTGAATTATTTGCTGAGAACTTGTAATCAATATCATCTCTTGATTCCACTAGTTGCGTTCTACCTGATAAAGCAGTCAAACAGGTTGATCCATTGCTAGACATTCGTATCACTCCAGCTTCTGTATCTAAAGTGATTTCCTGCTTAAACTCTTCTACAGCTTGTGGCCCAACAACATACCTGTTATAGTCTTGCAGAAGTGTTCGCCGGAGGTGCCGTCTATCCTTTCAAAACTATTCAACAAGTCCTTATCAGAGTCTTAATTTCCAGCCTGCTGGAGAGCAGCACTTGTTATTCCTATTTTTAAAAATTCTGAAGATCAATCTGATTCGTCTAATTATCGTCCCGTTAGTCTTCTTCCTATCGTAAGCAAGATTTTTGAATCTTTAATTAACAAACACTTAATCTCTCATCTTGAATCTAATAACTTACTTTCTGATCATCAATATGGATTTGATGATCTTCTCGTTATAACCGATAGGTTTTATTGTGCATTAGATAAAGGTGAGGAGGTTAATGTATCTCTCTTGACATTTTTAAAACTTTTGATTAAGTTTGGCATGCTGGTCTTCTCCATAAGCTTTTTTCTTACGGTGTATCTGGAAACATCTTTAAGATTATTAAATCCTTCCATTCCAATCATAGTATAAAAGTTGTTCCCGATGAACAGCATTCTTTTTTTTTTTATTTTACTTCACCTCCTCAAGGCCGAGAAGGCCACTACAAACGAGGAGGCTACTTATTTTGTGACTATAACCCTCTCTCAACTCTATAACTCCGAAACACGAACCTTGACGAACAAGGCCGCTGCGCGGAGAAACGAGTTGATTCTTCTTCTTGTTCTGTAACCTCAGGGGATCCTCAAGGTTCAATCCTTGGCTCTATACTCTTTTTAATATACATCAATGATCTTCCAGATATTCTCACTTCTAAGGTGCCATTATTTGCTGATGATGCTACCATTTTTTCTTGTCATAATAAGAAGCCAACACTCTCTGATTGCTTGGAGAGGGCTTTTGAGCTTGAAAAGGATCTCACTTCTGCTATAGCTTGGGGATCACAGTGGCTGGTGAACTTTAATTCAGATAAAACTCAATTTTTTTCAGTCAATTGTTATCGCAATAATTACGACCTTCCTATATTTATGAACGGTAATATACTCGATGAGTCATTTACCCTTCATCTTCTAGGATTAACTATTACTTCTGATCTTTCTTGGAAACCATATATCAAATCTGTTGCAAAATTAGCATCTGCTAAAGTTGCATCTCTTTATTGAGCTCAATGCTTTCCTACTCTGGATTCTATTCTCTATTTCTATAAATCTCAAATCCGGCCTTGTATGGAATACTCTTGCCATATCTCAAGCGGATCTTCTAATGATACCCTTTCTCTTTAAGACAAGGTGCAAAAACACATTGCAAACATAGTTGAACCTGCTCTTGCAGCCAAACTTCAACCGTTATCACATCGTCATAATGTTGCTTCTCTTTCTCTTTTCTACAAATACTATAATGGGCACTGCTTTAAAGAGCTAGCATCTATTGTGCCATCTACTAAAATTCATTGTCGTGTTACTCATTATTCAATTAAGTCTCATCCTTTTTCTGTGACTTCCTAAGAGCTTCAAAAAATCTTATTCTTCTTATTTTTTTCCTTGAACATCAGTTTATTGGAATTCGCTTCCTTCATCTTGCTTTCCTGATTCATATAATTTGCAATCTTGCAATTTGTAAAGTTGTCTGTCAATTGTTATCTTGCTCTACAATCTTAATCTTTGCTCTTCCAGTAACTTCCAACACTAATTAGCGTTTAATTTCCAAGTGGTTGCTTGCAGCCTGGTTGGAAGCCATGATGTTTTAAAATAAATAATGAAATAAGTAAAAGCAAGAATTCATTTTGGGAGGTCAAAGTTGTAATTTTAGTCATTTCAGGCAGTTATTGACCATCCGTTGTTTTCCAAGCTGCAATAATAATATATAGTTATTAAAAATAGTCAAAATCTTAAAAAAAAGAGTAAGTAGCTTAAGTAGCTAAGAAAATAAAATATTATACGACTTAGCAAAATCATGAAAATTAACTGTACAAACAATCTTGGTAATGTGAGCAGAAAACAAAGTTATTCTTACTTTAATTGCAACAAGTTATTTATTTTTTTTTATATACTATTAGCTAATGATAAATAGTAAATCTCAAATCAATAAAGTTTACTAAGTTAAAACCATATTTTAACAGTAGACAAAATAAACTAATGGTAGTTGGTAGAACACCAAGGTAGAACTAAAAAAATAAAATAACAATAATAAAAAGTAGACATGTTTGTAATATATAATCTTTGCAAATAAAAATGAAAGATATAGTAGAAATAAAAAAATATATATATACAAAAAAAATTAATTTTTTTTAATTATGTGAAAAAGTAATTTTTTTTAATGCAATTTAATTTATTGTCAAGAAAAAGTGAAGTAGCAAAGTGAAGTAAATAAACTGAACGTTATTTGTATACTACTACATTTTAACCTGAAACTTTTTTTTATTATTTTATTATATTTAATAAAAAAACATTAGAAAAGTTAATAGATAAAATAATTTTTTGGCCCTTTTTTTTGGGCGCCCATACCGCTCCAGCGGTAAAAAAAAAAAAGGTTCCCTGTATATGTTTATATATATATATATATATATATATATATATATATATATATATATATATATATATATATATATATATATATATATATATATATATATATATATACTATATATATATATATATATATATATATATATATATACATACATACATACATATATATATATATATATATATATATATATATATATATATATATATATATATATATATATATATATATATATATATATATATATATAAACATATACAGGGAACCTTTTTTTTTTTTACCGCTGGAGCGGTATGGGCGCCCAAAAAAAAGGTTATAGATAAAATAATTTTTTGGCCCTTTTTTTTGGGCGCCCATACCGCTCCAGCGGTAAAAAAAAAAAAGGTTCCCTGTATATGTTTATATATATATATATATATATATATATATATATATATATATATATATATATATATATATATATATATATGTATGTATGTATGTATGTATATATATATATATATATATATATATATATTTATATATATATATATATATAATTTTTTTATTTTTTGTTATTTAATTATTTTTTTTGCGAAATTTATATCTATAAGCTTTTTAATTGGTAATAACAATTTATCACTGGGTCAGAACCTTTTAGATGACTTTTGTGAGTTTTGTTTAGCAAATCTATAAAAACATGATTTCAATAAGTTTTATTATCCATCCATCCTGTATTTAACCATTTTTTCTAATAAAAACTGGTAGCTGGACAGTTTTTTGTTTGCTTTTAAAGATTTCAAAGATAAATAAGTTAATGCAAGTAAATTTAAAAAACAAACTTTTTTTTGTTAATTTATTACTAAATAAGTTAAAGTTTTACTTAAAACTTGCATTAGATTTCAACTATTTGTAGCTGATCTATTTCATTTTGTATTTCCTGTTTACATCATAATTGTAGGTGTTAGGTATCCCCACCTAAGATTAAATCTCAGTATGATGTTATCAATATCATTTTCTGAAATATGAGCTCAATTTAATAAGTATTTACAAAAATTAAAATTTTTTATTAACAAGTATTTACTACAATTATCACAAAGCAAATACCAACATGGTTATAATTATTAAAGTTTATGTTAAGAATACATTTTTGTAAGTATTAACATATTGCATGAAGGATTAATTGTAAAGAATCCACAATGGATTAGACAATTTTTTTCTTATATCAATAATTTTTTTCTCTTTCTATAAGATGTTTCAAAAAGATATAAGAGCACTAATCGACTATCAAAAAACCAGATTTTGTTTCTTGAATATCTTGCGAATCAACAACCCTCAAATGCTAATGCTCAAGCTGAGTATTTAAAGGTAATTTTTTCTTTTATAAATATCTTGTATTGAGAACATATCTTATATACAGATAGAGTTCCAGTAATATATATATATATATATATATATATATATATATATATATATATATATATATATATATATATATATATATATATATATATATATATATATATATATATATATATATATATATATATATATATATATTAGTGTACCTTAAACATCTCTTTATTTACAAAGTCAAAACCTATATTTGTGCATGTGCTGTGGTTACCCTTTGTAAATAATGTTAGCTCTGAAGTCCAATGTTGAGTACATTACCAAGTTTTCTATTTCTGTGTGGAGAACAGTAATGGTTGTTTGATTTTGCATTTAAACATCTAATAAAAAATTAATAGTCCTTTCAATAAAGATGGAGTAACAGTTTACATTTCAAAAGCAATATATCTTGCAACACCAAGTGCCAGAGCAGTACCTGGGGTAGTAGGAGTCTTTAGCCCCCCTCCCCTCTTCATCTTCCAATCCACTGGGCACGGGGGGGGGGGGGGAATGAGTTTAATATTTGTTATATTATAATTGCTATATTATAATTTTTCAAAAATCAGCAAAAAATCTGGTTAAAAAATGAATTTGGTAATGATTTAACATTTGCCTATTTTTGAAAGCTCCTCTTTCGTGTTATTTGAGTGTCTTTTTCTGTGGTCTGCTACAGCAAGTAGCAGGTTCTGTTTGAATTTCTCATTCTGACACAGATTGGTGAAATCTTGAATCAGTTTGATTCCTCTTTCAGTCGTGTGATTGAAGACAGACAACTTATTGATAAATTTGTGTAGATATTTGTCTGTTTCCTTTAGGTTTAGATGTTGAATAATCACCCAACTCTAAGATCCAACCGAACTGGGCAGACTAGGAATATTCTCTGTGTTGAATTTAGGGAAGACAGGTTTTCCAAGTTCAAATGTTTTAGGTATGAAACATTTTACTAGAGCTTGGGCAATGCCATCTGGCACATTCTTGTACAACTGATCATCTGCTAGTGCTAGGACAACATTTCTTTCTGTTAGAAACCAAAAGTGTTTTTTTAAGCTCTTGATAGCTGCATTTAAAACAGTTCATTGAAATGTGCATATAGTGCCATGTCCTTGATTGCACTTGAATTCATACTTGGTGACAAACTCATCACTGGCAGTTTCTTAAATCACATTGCATGAAACAATCCTGTGTACTCTGCAACATGGTGGACTGTAGATCTTTTTTTTTTAATAATCAACCCAAAGACAACGTCATCAATCTGACTGGCTAGTAGTTCCATGCTTATTTAATATAAATATTTAGCAATAAATCTTGCATGGTGTACTGTAATTGGTTTGTGAAATCTGATATTCTTCATTTTGTCACCAAACCAACACAAGCTTGTCTAAATGTTTGTAATTAAAACAAGGAAACTCCTTTGTGTACAGTATAGCTTCAAGGTATTACTTAACTTCAAGTGCCTGTAATTAATAAAATTATAAAATCTGCTTGAATTTAAATCATGTACAATAAAAATAACAATTGTTTCACTGAAAAATACCTTGCTCTTCAGAAACATTCCCTTGTTTGCACTTCAGTCAAACATGTTGAGATCCTTCAATCTTGGGTCTTGAAACTTTTTAAGATGTTCATAGGGCTTATCAGTTTTCTTTCCAGAGATTACCTGTGTCCATTTTCTGTGCTACATGCTGAAATAGCAAAAATTTAACATGAAAGATTAAAATATAAAAATTTGTTAATTAAAAAAAATTGTTAATTAAAAAAAATTGTTAGAAAATTCAACAACCTTTATGTTGTGCTCATTGACATTATGCTTATATACTAACCATAGTTACGGTTTTTCTATCCATTTCTCCAATAAGGATGCAACACCCTTCATGCAACCTTAAAATGTTTTTCCTATATTTAAAAATTTAATATAATCTTTTTTTTTTTTTTTTTTTTTTTTTTTTTTGTTTGTTTTTTTTTTTGTTTTTGTTTTTTTTTTTGTTATTCACCTCCTCAAGAAGGCCACTACTGATGAGGAGGCTACTTAATAGTGTTTATAACTCTCTCTCAACTCTATAACTCCGAAACACGAACCTTGATGAACATTTGAGTGCCGTACTACCAGGGACATGGTGGGGATCAAACGCGGAACTTCTCGCTTATGGAGCGAGTATTTTACCACTACATCACTACCGCATAAACTTTTAACATCAATTAAACTATATTCACCTGTGTTTGAATCTGTATTATTTAAACATATGTTGTGAATATCTTCCCAAAGATTCCAATCCACAAGAAATACCTTAATTGCTGTTGCTTGAGTAAATCCATAGCCACCTGACATTAGAATTATCCCTATAAGGTGTTCTCTTTCAAGATCAGGAGATGTGACAATCACAGCCATTTTGTCCACATTTCTGGTTTGTCCATCTGCATACTCTGCTATAATTTTAGCATCTCTTAATCCCCTAGTATCCCCTAACTCCTGGTGAATTCAAGACTTCAGAGCGGAAATTGGGCTTAAATTATTCACAAAGGGTAACAGCACATGCACACATAGGTTTGGATTTAGTAAATAAAGGGAGGGTTTAATATATATATATATATATATATATATATATATATATATATATATATATATATATATATATATATATATATATATATATATATATATATATATTATACACATATATATATATATATACACATATATATATATATATATATATACACACACACATATATACGTATATATACATATATATACACACACATATATACATATATATATATATATATATATATATATATACACATATATATATATATATATATATATACACACACACATATATACATATATATACACACATATATACATATATATATATATATATATATATATATACATACATACATACATACATACATACATACATACATATATATATAAATATATATATAAATTCATATATGTATATATATATATATAATATATATATATATATATACATGTATACATATATACATGTATATATATATATATGTATATATATATATATATATATACATGTATACATATATACATGTATACATATATACATGTATATATATATATATGTATATGTATATATATATATATATATATATATATATATATATATATATATATATATATATATATATATATATATATATATATATATATATATATACATACATGTATATGGATTGCCTGCCCAAACAAAACTCCTTGCATGTTCTTCTATTTGTCAGTCGGTGTAGCAGAATTCATCTATTGTTCTACCTATTTGTTTTAAAGTTTTCAAATTTTTTGGCTTTAGTGTTATAAGTTAGATATTCAATTTAATATTAAAATAATATTTTAATAAATTTTTATATATTGAATAAATATATTTTTGTTGATTTATTTTTCTTTTTTCCTAGGCTGTTGTAAACGAGGATCCGGAATATGTTATTAAAAGAATTGCAAGCAATAACTTTGCAACAAATGAAGATGTAAAAGCTATACATATTAAAGCACTAATTCTTACTGATCAACTTTCTCCTGAAGAATTAAAACGAAAACTTTCCAACAATGCAATAAATAATTCTACTGGGGTAGAACAAAATCCAATGCATGTTGTTGTTGTAGATGACAAGAAGAATACTTATAAGAAATATAAATCGATGTATAACATGTTTATGTTTGCAATGACTCTTTCTTTAATGTATCTTATTTTTACTCGTTTCATAAAAATGCCGAGTCTTTTTAATAGCAAAGAATTCCTTCCAGACCTATCAGAAAAAACAGTTAAGTTTGAAGATGTTGAAGGTTGCGACGAAGCTAAGGAAGAGTTGGAAGAAGTTGTTGAGTTTTTAAAGAACCCAGAGAAGTTTCAAAAACTTGGTGCTAAGTTACCAGGTGGTGTTTTATTGATTGGTCCTCCTGGTACCGGAAAAACATTATTAGCACGGGCTATAGCAGGGGAAGCAGATGTTCCTTTTTTTTTTGCATCAGGGTCTGAGTTTGATGAAATGTTTGTTGGAGTTGGTGCTGCTCGAATCAGAAAATTGTTTGGTATAGCTTTATTTATTGATGTACCATTATGTTTCATTTATTGGATAAAATAGATAGAACTGAAATTTATTGATAATTTTAAAGTTTAGTCAAGATATAAAAGATTCTTTCCATTATGATCATTAATTTTAATGAATTTGAGGTTTAATTGGTTAATTTTTTTTATAATTTTTCAAAATTTATCTGGTTATTTGCTACTTACAGTAAGTTACTACTTACAGTAAATTTCAATAAAAACTAGATTTTGCTTTCCTCAAGTGTTATCTTTCTTTTGCTTTTATAAGTATTTTTATTTTACTTTATTTTTCTTGTCAATGTTGTCTTATCTTTATTTTTTCTTGTCTTTATTGTTCTTGTCTCCAAATTTTATTATTATTTATTATTTTTTTATTATTATTGATATTTTTGTTTTTTTTGACTTTCTCATCATTATTTTTCTTGTCTCTCTCATCTTTTTGAGTCAGTGGTCACAATCTTTCATTTTATTTTAAATTTTGATTGTCAGCCTCTAACTTTTATTTGTAAGCTTGATGTATATTTTAGAGTTTTGTATTGTATATTGATGTGCGGCCGTGGCGCAGTGGTTAATACGCTTGCTTTATAAGCAGGAGACCCAGGTTCAAAAATGAGCTTTGGACATATTTTTGCGTTACAATAAGGAAAGTGGTGTGAACTTCCTGGTTAAACGCATTTCCGCTGCGCTCTGTGACAAAAAAAATGTATATTTTAGTATTTTCAAGTATTGTGCTAGTTTTATTTTTAGAGGTTTGTAATTATGCTTTTTATTTAGCATCAGCAAAAGAACATGCTCCATCTATAATTTTTATGGATGAATTGGATGCAATTGGAGGTAAACGTAATGCGAATGATAGTCAACCATACTCCAGAATGACACTTAATCAACTTCTAGTTGAGTTAGATGGGTATTTAATATTTTTAATTTAAAGATTTTGAAGAACAATGTTAGGGAATTTTGAAACATTCTTGAATTTCTCTGAAATATCTTATTCCTTGGTAAAAACTTTCAGAGATTTGTTGGTAAACAATAAAAATTTTCTGTATTTGATATTTTTAATAATAATAAAAACATCAAATTTTATTAAATTTTTAAAGACATCATTCAAGAGTTTAATATATAGTTAAATAAAAAACTTCTATTATGGATGTAACGCTTTTTATGAATTAATTTTCATACAATATTTCAAGGAAATATAGATACCCTTGTTGTCAAGTATAATATATATAGAGAGAGAAAGGCTTTGGCGGGAGTAAATAAGCGCGAGAGCCGAGAAAGGCTCTCTTATAACCAACATAGCAAGCCATGCAAGCTGTTCCTCTAAACTGCTTTTTACGAGAGCTTTTCGTTTTTGCACAAGTTATCATTTGGTTTTAATAGCATATGTTTGTAACGTTAATGCTAAAATAATATACACATAACAAGCATCATTTGTTGAAAAAATTCTTTAGAAATAAAATTTTTTTGACTTAAACCATGGCATAAACCATGCCTGTTTATTATCCAATTGATTAAATTTTTTTGACTTTACGTATTTCATTTTAGTTACAATAATAATTAAACTTTTAAGAGGAAAAAAAATACTTTTGCAAGAGCTGTTAATTGCTCCCATGAACCATTTTACGGGTGTGTGGGCAAGAGCGAGAGATAAAGCTCTCGTTTCCTGCTGAGGCCTATATATATATATATATATATATATATATATATATATATATATATATATATATATATATATATATATATATATATATATATATATATATATATCAACCCTAGGAATTGGGAAAAATAAGGTCAGTAATAATTTGCTGACCTCAATCTTCTTGAGGTTGGCATCAGGTCGGCAAAAATTATTTGATACAAAGGTCTGACCATAAAACATAAAAACTAGTTTGGCAAAAAATTGCCGACCTCAAACACTTTTAGGTCAGCATTGCTGAATGCCTGCCCTAATTCCGAGGGTTGATATATATATATATATATATATATATATATATATATATATATATATATATATATATATATATATATATATATATATATATATATATATAGAGAGAGAGAGAGAGAGAGAGAGAGAGAGAGAGAGAGAAAGAAAGAAAGAAAGAAAGAAAGAAAGAAAGAAAGAGAGATATGCCATTTTTTGTCATAGTGAAAATTTGTGACGCACAGTAACTAATCAGTCTCTCTAGAGTCACTTTTATTAATAAATTTTTTTTTCAAATTTGTTTGGTAATAATTATTATTCCCGCCAGTCACTTAAAAAAATATTTTACCTAGAAATTGGCCTGTTTTTACAGATTTTCAGTTTATTGGCGGGAATAGTAAATATTTTCTAATATTGTTTATTGTTAATTTAAAATGTTTTTGAAGGTCTATGTAATGACATATTAACATTAACATTATGTGAAATATCCCCATGTATTACTAATGTGTCTGCTAAGTTATAGCATGGAAATTTTTTTGTGGATGGAATTTTTTTATTTTCATTTTCCTTCAGAGCAAGTAAATAAAATAATGGATTAAGATCTTTATTTTCAAAAAAATAACTTTAAAAAAAATCAATGATATACACAATGCAGAGCAGTTCTATACAACAGAAACTTCAATATCTTTATTAGTAGAGGATTTTAGAGTTGGTGGCTAGAGTTAGCGGATTTTTTTTATGACGCTATGGTTTTGTAAACTGGTTTCTTCTAAGCATTCTTGACCTGATTCTGCAGTTTATCTTCACTCTTGGCTTTCTCCACATTCTGTTGGATGAGCTTGACAGCCTGTTCAGAGCAATCATTGACAACATTAATTGAATTGCTTCAAACTGAACCTCGCCAGTCCCATGACCTAATTTTGGAACACCAAAGAGATGTGTCTCTCCCTCATCTGTTGAGCCTGTGTAATCCTTGATAATTTTTCCGTCAAAATGTGCAATAATTAGCATATCAGCATCCTTCATTTTCTTTTTTAGGTTAGCTCTGAGTGCAGCAGTGTCCTTGTGTGAGATCTTGTCTGAGATTCTTTGTCCAGAAGTCTTAGATAATGTTATTTTGTCTATATCTCCACCAGACTGCTCAACAACAGAAATTATTAAGGGATTTGCTAGGTGAGGACTGATGCCCATGCCAACAGCAGTTCTGGCAGTTTTAGACAAAATATTCTTAGGCATAATTAAAATTTGTTCTGAAAACTTTTCCTGTGGTATTTCAAAGTTTTCGGCATCATAGCTAGGTTCGCTGTCTGTTGTATCTGATGCAAAGTCAATGTTATCAGTGTCAGATTTAACCTAAATAAAAGCAGTTGGTTTTTCCTGCTTCTTTTGTCTTTCAAATCTCTGTGCAACAAACTTAAACCTTCCATCAACTTTACCAATCAACAACTTTCTGTCTGTCATCTGATCATGAATAAAAGCTTCATCCTCTAAATTGTCCTTGGTCATCCTTAACCTACTAGATTCCAGACTTTTTTTTCATATCCAAACTTGCCCAAAACAAATCTTGATAAAAACAACTGTTGTTTTAAAACTCTTAATATGTGCCTCAAAGAATAATCAAAACAAATGTAGTTAGTCCTGCTAACTTTACATATTTTGACTTATTTTCTTGATTAATCCTGAAATTTTATAAAGTCAACCAACAAAATATTTTAAAATTAAATCATATAATTATTTTATATTGACAAAGATAAGTAAATTGAAACTTGTTTTTTTCAAGTTTAATGCTAAACCTCTTGCGAGATGCTTTATAGCCAGTTCCAACTTTCTTCTGAGATTTACTCAGGTTAATGTACTGTTCCACAAACTGATTAACACTTTTGCGTAGATAATGGACAGTCAGAACTGGAAATCCTATTCTTCTCCAAGGAACAAAAATTCCAGAAAGGACACATCCAAACTCACAGTCAGCGCCATATTAAACGTAAGATAATCTAGAAAAACTTTTTTTAAATAATAATCCTTGTCCAACTACATTAAAAAGGGAACAGATGCATTCGAGGAATTTTTTGTGGATATAATTTAATAATTCACATTCTGTATCCATTTGACAATAAATGGTGGGATTGATACACATGTAAACAATATAAAACAAACCTAAAAGTTTTGTTTTGAAGAGAGCAAGACACTAACTCTTTAATTGGTTTCTTTGGATACAGATCACAGAGGTGAAGATGATGTTGGCTATATATATATATATATATACATATACATATATACATATATACATATATACATATATACATATATACATATATACATATATACATATATATATATATATATATATATATATATATATATATATATATATATATATATATATATATATATATATATATATATATATATATATATATATCAATTGAAAAAAAGAGTTGCATCCATAATAGAAGTTTTTAACTTTTATTAAAATAATAACAATAACATTCTACATTAGTTTAAGTTTTTAATTTGAAACTTAAAATCAGCTATTTAAATATTTAATATATTTTATTATTTGATTATATTGAAAATATTAAATAAATATATAATTTTTTTTCTTTTGATTTTTTTTTATATATTTATATTTAATATATTTTAGATTTACTCAAAATGAAGGAGTGATAGTGATTGGTGCAACAAACTTTCCAGAAATTCTTGATAAGTAAATATAGTAAATATTTTTATTAATTTTAATTTTTTCCTTAGTAATTGAGCATTTTTATTATTTGAACATATTTTTTGCTTGTAGAGCTTTGACAAGACCTGGTCGATTTGATAGCAAAGTTCATGTTGCAATGCCTGATGTCAGAGGAAGAAAAAATATCCTTCAACTTTATTTAAAGAAAGTTCCATGTGCAAAAGGTATTTTTTTTCTGAAAATTATTTGCTTACCTAAAATATTCACCATAAATTTTTTTTAATTTTTTCACACACAACTGTCACAAATGACAGTTGTATGTGAGTGGGTGGGTGATTGGGGGGGGGGGAGATAAATATCCTTAAACTTTGTATAAAAAAAAAATAATAAAAGAAAAGAAATGTTGTTGTTCATAATTTGCCAACTAATCTATAAAAATATTCATTTTTTTGACTAAGGATCCTAGTCTGTCAACATAAAAGGGTGTGTGCATAAAGGAGAGAGGAGGTCCCCTATGCACATACATCTGACCCTTCCTACAACTGGCCTTGAGTAAAGATAATTTATTTATTTTGTCATTAAAAAACTTGTAAGCATTTACTGAACTAAATTTTTTTTAATAATAAAAAATTTGCTTTAAATTTAACAGAACTGTTATTCCAACTCATAGCATTGAAACATATTACACTTTCCACTATGCACTATAAATAGTGTCATAACTAGATTAGTTTTTATGGTTTTCAGGAACAGTAATTTGTTATGTGTTTTAATATATTTTTGTATTACAATGAAACTGAAATGATGACTACAATAATAAATAATAGCTATTTTAAATATATATATATAAATATATATATATATATATATATATATATATATATATATATATATATATATATATATATATATATATATATATATATATATATATACACACACACATATAGTGTTAACCAAGAATAAATTTGATGCAGTATTTTGACAAAATTGGGAATTTGTTAAAATATTTGAAGGCCAATTGTTTAAACCTCAACATGTCACTGCTAGTATTGCACTTGTTTTTTTTTTGTGATAAATTTTTTTATCATTTTGTCATCACAACTAGTTCTTGATGGTTTTATAACTTCTAATGATGGAGAGACTTATGTTTTAAATAATGGAGAGACTTATGTTTTAAATAATGGAGAGACTTATTGTTTAAGTTTTTTACATAATAATTTAATTTAAATAATAATATAAAGTAATAAAAAAAATCAGGTATGACCTTTTTTATGTTTATTTTAGTAAAACAAATTGTTTGTAAATACAATTAAGGGGAGTCATACATATAGTGTGTCATCCTATATTTGTTAATACTTATTCCCTCTGTCACAAATGATCACATATACCTTAATCCCCTCCCCCACCTAAACTGTGATAGTAGTTTTTACGTCAAAAATATTTTAAAAGATTTAAATGTAAATACTTTGCAGCATTTTAAAAATTCAACCTTATGAAAATAAGGCAATACACATAAACGTAAGAAGTGTAAGTAAAAATTTTGACAAACCCTCAATTTTCTTTAAATGACTCAAATAAGTATTTAAAAAGTTGTAATACTAAAATAATTTTTTTAAAGTTGCTCTTGGTCTTGTGGAAAATCTGTTTTTGATTAGATAACTTTCATAAATGTTATGAAAAATCACTCAGGAAATTGTGTCTAACAGTATATATATATATATATATATATATATATATATATATATATATATATATATATATATATATATATATATATATATATATATATATATATATACACACATATATATTGTTAATCTACTGCAACAACATTTTTGTTTTTTAGATATTGATGCTGAGGTGCTAGCAAGAGGATCTCCAGGGTTTTCAGGTTCATTTTATTTTGCTTTGAATCATTGTTTAATTGGAAAAAAAAAGTTTCCATCGGGAGATAGATTCATTTTACTCAGTTTTAATTGATGTACTAAAAAATATTATTTTAACTTCAGATTTTTTTAAGTCTGTATAAAATGTTGTAATATTTAACATAAATATAATAATCATATGCTTTTTGAGTAATAAAAAGATATAAACAATTTTATATAACAATGATAATCACTAAATAAATAAAACTATTGTGGGAAAACAAAAGATAAATTTAAAGAAATAACTATGCTTTTAATTTGAAGGTCTGTTTAACTTGCTTTTAATTTGTAGGTCTGTTTTAATTTTTATTTGTTTTTTTAGTTTTAACAAATGAAATAATGTAAATGTATTAATATTTAAGAAAAAGTATGTAAAAAAAAATTGCAAGCAAAAAATTTATTTACAAAAAAGTTATTATATATCAGCGCTCGAAGTAACGGCCGATCAACGATCAATGATTGGCTATTTTTAGGGAAATTTTGAAAAATTCACAAAAAAAAAAAAAAAAAAAAAACTTAGTTCAAACAGTTTTATACTGCATTAAGGGTATCATCATCTACATACTATGCTGATGGCCAGCCCAGGTATGAGAAGTTTTTAAGATGGATGTCTGTGAGTCATCATTTCATTTAAGAGAAATTTTTGTAGTACCAAAACTGAAAACATCCAATACACACCACTTATTGCAATTTTTGTAGTACCAAAATGGAGCTTGTCAGTTAAAATGCTGATAATTTTAGTGATTAAAAACTATTTTTTATTTTAGCGAGTTTAACAAATTTTTACTTTTAATTTTAAAAATTTCTTCCAGAGTAAAACAAATTTTGTTAAATTCTCTCAACATTACCAAAGGGAGATATATAGGTTCTATTTTCTGGTCATATATATTTTTTTAATTTCTTTAAATGGTTTTTATTCAGGAAAGTATTTAAAGAACTTAGATAATCTTCTTAAAATAGAGAAAATAATTTAAGGAAAGACTTACATGTAAAAATTATTATAAGCAGTATATAAAATAGAACTTAGAACACACAAAATATTTTTATGCAGCATAAAGTATGGTTGTGTACACAGTGTTTTGGTTGTGTACACAGTGTTTTGTAAAAAGCAATTTAAATTATATAATAGTAACCTGCCATTGAATTGTGTGAACATTAATATATATTATTTTATATTGTGTGAACATTAATATATATTAAGTCAACAAAAATCAAAAAATCAATTCGTCAAACTATTATTTTTTTTATATATATACAATTATATACCTTAATAATATATACCTTATCCTGATGGACGAGGATAACAAGGTTGATTCATAAAATTAGTTAAATTAAAAATAATTAGTTTTCGATTAAGTTTAAATATTTTTTTAATAAAAGCTTTAATGAAAAAAATCTTTTTTTATAAAAAAATTTTTTAACTACTTTAAAACTTTTAACTACGTATATAATTATACAATGTTATATAACATACAAATTTTTGTATGATTATGCAAACAGTATAAAAAAGCTTATGTTATATAACATACAAATTTTTAAGCTAAATGTTTGAAAGAATGTTTACAATACATTCTGTACCATTTCTCGTTTGAGTTTTCATTAATTAAATAAATTAGTATTTCTTTTTTTAAGGTGCTGATTTAAACAACTTAGTAAATCAAGCAGCTTTACGAGCAGCTGCACAAGGTTGTGAAGAAATAACTATGGAACATATTGAGTGGGCAAAAGATAAAATTATGATGGGTAACAGCTAAAATAATTCAGTGTGTTGGAATACTTTTAGATATAGTATTGTTACTATGATCTTGTTGTGGTTACCTTTAGGTCCTGAAAGGCGAAGCGCTGTAATTGCTGAAAAAAATAGAAATTTAGTTGCATATCATGAGGGTGGTCATGCAATTGTTGCTTTATTTACACCAGGTATTTTTTTTGCTACATTTACACTGGACTTTTTGCTACACCTACACTGGATTTAACTTCGTATCACATTCACATTTCTTATTAATTTTTAATGTTGGTGTATTTATAATGAATTTTTTCATTATTTTAATATTCACAATGGCTATTTATCGTCATTTTTATCTTTATTCTTCAGTGAAAATTTGTGTTCATTGTTGCTATGTTCACACTGAGAATTTATTTAAGTTGTTTCAATATAAATTGTTTTATAGATGCAGAACCTGTTCACAAAGCTACTGTTATGCCTCGTGGTTCTGCACTGGGTTATGTAATGCAGCTTCCTGAGAAAGATGATTTATCATGGACCAAAAAACAGTTACTTGCTAAGATTGATGTATGTATGGGAGGGCGTGTTGCTGAAGAAATTATTTTTGGAGAGGATGCCATTACTACAGGTAAAAACTAAAACTTTGTTTATCAAAAAAATTTTGAGAAATCATTTTTCTAGTTAAAAAAAGATTCTTAATTTAGCTTTAAAAAATGTTTTGTTTTAGTAAAGTTGTGGGTCATCCATAATTTACGTCATGCTCTGGGTTAGTGAGTCTTAATGGTTTTGCGATGACTTGTAGGGGATTTGTTACTAAAGAGTTATGATATTGTGACAAAAAGGGGGCGGGGGAGGAAATCAAAAACGGTAAAAATATGTACAACAAATTATCGACGATCTCTTTGTTATAAATATGATATTTTAATATTTCTTTATTTAAATGAAATTACTTATATTATTCATCGAGCAATTTTACAGGATTTTGTATCATTGTCATATCATTGTAAAGTCATTTTAAAAAAAAGTAATAGAAATTAACTTCAACAAGTCTATACAAAGTAAAATTGTTTTTGGTTCTTCCATTCCATGGAAAGTCACCATTTTTATAAGACTGATATCTAAAACTTAATGTTTTTTAACTTTCATTTTTGAAAAGTTGTCATTATAATCAAGGCTTTGAAATAACTATTAGTTAATTAAAGACAAAAATTTTTCCTATATTTCTAATTTTCATCGAAATATTATAATTGCTGAGTTTGTAAGTCAACTATCTTACAGTTGATTTTCAAAAATTCTAATTTTTTTAATTTATTGTTTACGAACTAAGTATTTTGAAGAACAAAAAACGATTTTGTATAATCAACAAACAATATAATAAATTTAAAGATCAAATTTAAAGTCTAAATTTAAGAAAAATTTTACTTTAAAAAATATTGACATAGAACTCTGAAAACCTTGCAAATAGAAGTATAAGTATAGGCCTTATCATAAATCAAATTTTTCCCAATTCAACTTTTTGTATAGTTTAAAAAAAAAATTAATGTTTATATATAAATGCATACATATATATATATATATATATATATATATATATATATATATATATATATATATATATATATATATATATATATATATATATCTATATATATATATATATATATATCTATATATATATATATATATATATATATATATATATATATATATATATATATATATATATATATATATTATGTAGGAGCGTCAAGTGACATGCAACAAGCAACACGAATTGCACGAGCAATGGTAACACAGTATGGAATGAGTGAAAAGGTATATTTTGTTAAAGTTCTGGAATTTCTGTTTGAAAATTGAAAAAAACTAATTTAATTTTTTTTTTTTGTTTGTTTGGTAGATTGGAACAGTATTAATAGACGAAGAACAGGAGAAATTAAGTCCAGAACTTCAATCTCTTATTGAAAGTGAAGTTAAGCGACTGATACAGGTATATCTTGAGCATCTTGTGGAAATTTGTGAATCATTATTGTGTTATCACTTACGTAAATTATTTTTAAAAATCTTACAATCCTAAAATCCTAATTTTTTTCATAGGAATCTTACAATCGAGCAAAAAATATTTTAACAAAATATGCAAAGGAACATAAAAGACTCGCTGAAGGACTTCTCAAATATGAAACTTTAAATGCAGAAGAAATCAATTTAATCATAAAAGGAAAACCTATTCAAGGAAAATAAAACGAAAATTTAAACGCAGAAAAAGTAAATCTGATCATTAAAAAAAACTTATTCTAAAAAAATATTTCAGTAAATAATTTAAATCGACTAAAACAGTTATTTCTTAAAAATGTGAAGTCAGTTTTTTTTTTTTTAAAAAAAAAAAAAGACATTCATTTTCAAAACTTGTTTCTTATGCGTTTATGAACTGATGAAATTTTAGTGGTGCCGAAACTTGATTATTGAAGTGTTTACTTATGGTATTTAAGTAGCAAAATCTCAAGGTTTTTTTTATTAGCGACAATTTTTATAGTCTCAGAAGAAATAGCTACGGTGTTTTATAATCAGAAAACGCTCTTTTTATGGTCTGAAATAAAATTTTACCGTTTATTTTTTTGTTTTATACACTATTAAACAATGTTTAATAGTGTTTAAACAACTGTTTTTTCAGTTAAATTAAGTTTTAGTAGACACAACTAGTAGTGGTTTAGATGAAAACTTAAATAATAATTACGTTTGTTTGGTACCTTTTAACCATACTTTGTTACTTTATATATTAAATCCTCTCATTCAGTCTAAAAATCTCTTAAAATGAGCTAAAGAGTAGATGATTTTTTTTTATAACGCTTGTTCTGTTTCAAGGACTTTTGTTTTGCTTAAATTACAGAGTTAGTTTTATCAACTTTAGGTTCTTTTTGTTTAAGCAATTTTTTGGTAGCACGAAGTTTTTTGTTGTTTCTATTATTTTTAGGGTTTGCTTGTTTGCATTACAAATTAATTTACTTTTGTTGTGCTTTTGCAAACTGTAACGTAAAAGTTTTTAATAGAACAGGCTAGGATAAAATTTCATACATTAAAAATACAGTAAAATTATTATACAATAATTTATTTTTTTTTCGTTATTAATCTATTAGTTATTGTTGTTACGAGAATCTCGGTTCGTTATTTTTTGAATCAAGATGTTTCATATGAAACATCTTGATTCAAAAAGATGATTTCATACTTTTTCAAAGAATTTTCTAATCTTTCCGTAATTTCTGTAAAGAATAAATCTATTATAAGAAAAATTATAAAACATTTTTTTAAATTGTCTTAAGGCTATTGATTATTTTGACTTTAATTGTAAACTGTTTATTTAATTGTCTATTGTAACATGTTTATTAGTTATTTCAGAAAAGTTAACATTTTAGCATTAATTATTTTATTTGGAAACAATAAGTTTTTACAAACATAAAATTGAGATCATGTACAAAAAAATTCAGTTATGATAAATTATGTTAATTCTTAACCATTATATGAAATTATATGGCTTAACTGTTCTTACTAGAAAAAGGGACCTTTAACTGTAATTACACCTTTAATTCTGTGTGACATGCTTTCAATATTTAAAGATTTAGACAGTACGTACTGTACATAATCTTTTCTAAGAGTTGTGTTTGGTAAAACTTTCGCCACTCCCCTTTTCATCAGCTCTCGCACGTTTTCAATAATGTTCATATCTGCGCTATTACCCGGCCAATCCAACAGAGAGTAATTTACTTTTCCAAAAAAAAGCTTTAAAAGACCATTCTGTTTGGCAGAGAGCCAAACAAAACTTTTGAATAAAAAATTTTTTTTATTTATAAATCATCATCTGCACAATGGACATTGTTAAAAAATCAGTTTTACTAAAATAAATTTAAATTAGTTGTTATTGAAAGCCAAATAAATTTCCAGTTCATTAAAAAAATTAATTCAAAAACATGATTTATTTAGGAAATATACAAGTTTGAATAATGTAAATTTGTTGTAAAAGATATGTAATAAGTATAAATAATACATAAAAGTCATTTTTTGGCATTATATAGAGAAAATGTCACTATATAAACAGTGCTATTGAGGTAATTGTATTACATTATTTTGTAATACAATTAGCACATTAATTGTTTTACATTATTTTGTACATATTTTTATAAGGGAAAGATGTGTTTAGTAAAAGTATCTAGAAATTAAAGATTAAGATCAATTTTTGACCAACACCTCTACCCCCTCCCCTAGCCCTTTTTTCTATTGACCTTTTTTTTTGACCAAATTTAATCTTGTTATTACAACCGTTAATAAAAAATATATATATTGCAGCATTGAAATCTGTTTTAAAATAAACGAATTGCAAGAGTTAAAATCAAAACTGAGGGTTTTGTGGTGTATATAGTAATAATATAATATTTTTACTTATCACATATTCTTGTTTATATTTAGAAATATATTATTTTAAGTTTAAATTATTTTGTTTAAAAAGTTATTAGACAATAAATCAACAAAAATATTTATATCATTAGTTTAATAACAATGGAACTCACTGAATATGAATTATTTAAAATTTTAATTGCTGAGGAAAATAAACAACCAAAAGCTATTTCTGCAAATATAACAGGTTGTATACAGGTAATTGTTAAGGCACATGGCTCCAATGGATTGATATTTGCTCAAATAGCAATAGTTCAGAATAGCTGGCAGAGATCTGCATTTGAAGAAAAACAAACTTAAAAAAATAGGCTATGTTGGCATACAGTTCAAGACTGGTAAGGAAACCTTGAAGAGTATATTAAAGAATAACTCTTTAATTAAGTTTCCAATAGAAACAATGTCAATTTAAACAGTTTGTACTCTTGGTAGACATTCATATACAAACTAAAAAAAAACTTCTTCTGGTTTTAATATATTGCCTAGTTGGAAACAATTCAGAAGAAAACAATCTGAAGAAACACAATTTATTATGAATTGTCTTGAACTTTATTCTTGTGTTCACAGATAATTCCTATTTACTAATTATTTAATAATTATTCCTGCGTTTACTTCATTCCATTTCAGGCTATTAAACCTAGTTTACACTGTTATCACGATTTGTATATATATATATTTGTAAAATAGTTTTAAAAGTTTATTTTATTGTAAAACAACTAACTTTGTAATTAAAAAAAAAAGAAAAAAAAAACTGACGATGCAAAGGATATTGGAGAACAATGGCAAAAATAATAAAAATTATCAAAAGAAGAACTAAAATACGTAATTTATTCATATGTTAACATTTTAAAATATGTATCATCTTCATATTAAATATTATATGAAAATATACTAATGAAAATAAAGTTTGGATTTAATGGTAGTGGAAGCCATGCAATATTTAATTAAAAAGGTAATGTTAACACTAGCAAAATCATACTGAAAATGTTTTGTACATTTTTAAACAGAAGCAGATTTCTTAATATAGTTGCAAAAGTCACAAAATGCCCCATTGAGTCACAAAACGCTAAGTCTATAAATGGAAAAAGAATCAAGAGAAACTCTTCAACCATTGTCTGTCTTTAATTCTGACAAAGAAGAGTTAAAAATAAAAGTTTTCTTATATAAAGAGGGAAAACAATTTAATATGAAGGTAATAGTGCAGTTAAATATGATGGGTATGAAAACAGCGATTCTTTTTTCAGGAGGTGCATATTGTGATCATGTGCACATGCCTAAAAAACCTGTGTTTGAATATTGAAAAAATTGAAAATGGTTTTGTAATCAATCGAGACTATAACAATGAATGAAATATTAAACTCGAACAAAAAGACGTTTCTTTAATTAATAAAAACCTAATTATATTACAAGCGCCTGAGAAACCTTCAAACCAATTCCAACATGTGATGTAAAGCCAATACAAGTGTATTGGTATCTTTTAATAATGTTCATATTATTCTATACTTTTAATATGTGAATATACTTGATATTAAAAATTATTACATTTAGAAATTACTGATATTTTCATAGGTTTTTCATGCTTTACTAGGTATATTTGACCACTTCATGAAAACTGTTGTACATGTGAAAGCTAGTGTTTTTAATTGATCTGATTTTCCTTTCAGAGCTTCAAATAGCTTTCAAAAGCAAGTAGAGATTTCATTACAAACAGAGATATTTAAAAAAAAACAATTATAAAATGGGCCTACATTAATGAAATTGGAAAAAGAGGAATAACAACAACAGGTTACATAGCTAGAGAACTATTGTACAAAAAAATCAAACAGGGATTTAATTATTGCACAACTGTCTGTTTAATATCATGCAACATTTCAAAAGTTTGAATTGGTGCTCTCAGAAATTCTTTGAGTATTTTCCTAAAAAAGAAAAGTTTATGTCAATTAATATAATTATATTTGTATATTTCTATTGTACAGATTTTTATTTATTCCTATTTAACGAGTTTCCACCTGTTACAAAAATAAATTTATCTGGACCATGGATCAGTATAAGACCATCACTTTACAAAATGACTGGGCATTCTTAGGCGCTAATTTTGAATAACGAAGAGTGTGATTTGGGAAATTTTTATGATTCAGGGTTAAAAGATAATAACAAAATATTAACATTGATACATACTAGACTTTCAAAAAACATTTTCACTTTCAAAAAATTCCAAAATTGTCAATTTAACAGACAATAATAATAAAAAAAACAACATAACAATTATAATATTAATTAAATTAAAAAAATAATCAAATAATAAGTCACTTGTTTTTATAAACACAATAGCTAAATATACATATAAGTTAGTTACCAACAATTGACTGATAAAACGTAACAAATAACAATAACATTTAACATTTATTTAAATTGAAAATAATAAAATATGAATAATAATAGTAAAGATAAAAATAGTAATAATTGTGGTTACGATAAATATTTAGAACTAAAAGAAATAAAACTATAACAAAAAACATGATAAAAATTAAAGATAAAATAAAGAAAAACAAAAAAGCATTAAAAAAATGAGATTTTAATATTGTTACATGCACACACAAACAGAAATATAAAGATATATACACATACTAACCCACATACATACATACACACATATATACACACACGCGTGTACATGCACTCAAATAGCTATGTATACATGTAAATATAGATACATATACAGCTTTAAAAATATGTACATTTTTTAAAATGTCCAACTTTCACAATTTTAAAATATTTTAGCATTAACGAGAAGGCCCTTACTTAAGGTTTTTTACACGGTAAAAAAACCTTAAGTAAAGGCCTTTTTTACCCATACAGTATGGGTAAAAAAGGCGATCTGGCGAATGAACATGTTTATTTAAACGCTGCATACAAAACAAACAAAGAGCTGCATAGTAAAAACTGCAAATCAAATAAATACAGTGAACAAAGCCACAAAATCATGTTTGCAACCATATTCATAATAACAGATTATTTTATGATATAATATACTTTAATTTTATTTTGATTATTTAATGACAGATGTATGCTGTAACTGACGTACTAGAAAACGCGGTTTGTACTTGTTTACGTTTTTGTATTAAGGTAACGTTACATATATGGTTTGTTTCGGATGTAATAACATCTATAAAAAAATATTAAATATTATGCACGCACAGAATCCGAAATATCCATTAAAGTCAATAAACAAAAGTGTTGGGCGCCCAACAATATTTAATTTTTTTTTTTCCAGATGTCACTACATCTGAAAAAAAAAACATATATGTAACGTTACATATATGGTTTTTTCAGATGTAATAACATCTGGAAAAAAGTATTTAAAAAAAAATTATTATTTTATTAAATGTTATATTATTTTAATTAATTACATCTGGAGGAAATTCTTCGAGATGTTTTATGGATTTGTAGTTACAGACGTAGTTACATCTGGATTTGTAGTTACAGACGTAGTTACATCTTCCTAAAGATGTTGTTAGGGATCATTAAAATTCCAGATATTACTGTATTGAGAAAAAATATATATATATATACAGATGATCTCAATACAATAATATCTACAGATGTAGTAATCTCTTACTTATAAATACGGCCCCTTAGTTAATTCGGTGTGGATGTTGTGTAACACGCCACCGTAAATGTTTTTGTATAAGCTTAAAATGTATCTTGAAGAAGAGTGTATCAGCTTAAAATGTACCCCTCAGCTGCTTGAATAAGACTGTGCCAAAGATTAAAATGCAGCAATGTTTTAATTTAAGAGAAAGTTGAAATTTTTATCAAGTCACTTTTACTTGCTAGCTGCTGTAAATGTTTAGATAGTTTAAAATAAAAGTTACTACGCCAAAGCTAGCCCACAACCAAGTTGTAAAAGGAGGATGGCTGTTACTTATTCATTTATACAATCTCTATTATACGATAACAAGTTTTTTGAGTCATATTAGCACGTGCTTTTGTTGAGTTTTTACCAATCAAAAACTGGATAATCCAAGAGGGCGGCAATCACCTCTATGATAGCCACTAAGATCGTGATTTTTGCACCTAAACCAATTTCGAAGACAATCACCATATACCTGATTGGTTATACAGTCGAAAATATTTTAAGAGCTTGTAAAATTTGTAACTAATTTCCGTTAACCAACTGTTTTAGTCATTTACTGATTTTAGTCATTTGCTTGTTATAAACAAGCAACACCGAGTAAAAATATAAGAAGCAAATTTTAAAATAACGACTATATTAAATAAATTCAATTTGTATTTTTGGAAAACTAAATTAACAGGATTTTCTAGAAACCTGCATTTTCTGCAAATATACATTGACATAAATTTTCCAATGAAATATACTTTGAACTAGGGCTTTCAATGGTAATGTAACAATATTTAACCAACTTAAAATAACATACGCGTTACAGCTGATTTTCACTTAAAAATTTACAAAATAAAACTAAAAAAAGCGTACAAAACAATATTTTATTTACGACAATACATACAATTTGAAAAAAAAGAAGAAAAAAATACACACCCATATATATATATATATATATATATATATATATATATATATATATATATATATATATATATATATATATATATATATATATATATATATATATATATATATATATATATATATATATATATATATATATATATATATATATATGTATATATATATTATTTATATAATATTTTATAGCTTACTCATTCTCAGTTAACTAAAAAATATATCGAGGTACGATCTTTAACCAATAAATTATATATGAAATTTTTTAAAATAACTTTGACTCAAAAGATAAAGTTGATTGATGTCTCGAAATCTATTAAGTAAAAATGCTAAGTAATATTGCTAAATCTTCTGATCAAAACATGTCTATGTAGCAATTTTCTTCATGAGACTTTCTATCCTTTTATCAAGTCCTTCGCAATTCTTTTGAATAGAAGCAATGTTCTCAGCAAAACTTTTTTCAAACTATTTAAAGAAAAAAAAAAAAGATTTTTTTTTGAAAACTTTAGCTATTTTAGCTTTAGAAATTATAAGCATTAGAATTTTTTTTTTCCTTCTGAATAAATTTATCAAAACATTTAAAATTTCATAAAATAATCTTCTGTTTGAAAATTATGGTAATTCTACATTTTAATTAAATCTAATTTTTAAATTTGAGGGGAATAGTAAAATATAAGTTGTGGTTTAAAATACTCTAGAGGTTAAAACTAAATGTTTTATTATCAAAATGATTTGATAATAACAAAAATAATTAACAATAATAATACAAATTTTAAATAATCATATGATTATAATCAAATTATACTGATAATAACGGCATTGGGGTATTAGGTCATATTTTTCCAATTGTTAATGGAACACGGGTGTTTTAAGCCATATTATTCCAATTTCAACAAAATAAAAACCTATTACCATTCCAAATAAAGTTCTTGTCAAATAAAATTTCTAGGCTGTTTTCTAAATTTTGTGTTAAACTTTTTTTTTTTTAAATATACTAAGTCTTACTTTATTTAGTGTATCTTTTTCGGTGCGAAGAAGATCTCGGACTTCAGTTTGATTAATTGTCAAATTTTCCATAGATTGGAAAAATGAGGTAGCTGAAAAAAAAGTAAGTGTTAATTTAGTATACTTTATTTAGCTAATTTATAACAGTTTTTACGAGAGCAGAGCAATAATAAATTAATTAAAAAATCTCTTGTTTGACTAAGGACTCCTCTAAATAACTTAAAAAGTTCTATATATTTTTAAATAACACACATATGTATACTATTATAGTGTGTACACTAAGAGTAGGGTATTTCCAAAAAATCACGCACGGAAACTCGTACATGTTTTGTCTATTATTTTCATTCTTTCAATAGTAATCTATATAAGTATTTTGTAAACAAAGAATGATATACATCAGCAATGTCACCAAAACATAAATTAGGTTTTAAGCGGAATCACGCACGGAACAGAAAAAACGCAAATTTTAGTTGCAAGATAAGTTTTAGCGGTTTACTTTTTTATTAAAACGATATTTTAGATATTAGTAAAAATGTATCATAAAATCATAGCAATCTTTTAAATACAGTTTATGAATGGTCACGTACAGAAGTTACAATTTTGTCAATTTCATGTAATTTTTATAAAAATAAATTGCTGGCGAGTATTTCAAGTGAAATATATTTACAACTCATATTTAATTTTCGATAAGAAATTGCAGTCATCAAATATTTCTAGCTAGAGTATGACGTTTTGAAAATTATTGTGTATTTTTCAAACTATTGTGCATTAACATACAAAATAAATAAATAAAGATAAAAATATACATATTTAAACATTCAGGTAGCCTAAAATATGAAAGAAATATTATAATTGTTCTTTAAAAAAATCGTAATAGTATGCATATTGCTATAAGTTCCAGCTTCTAATTGTAAAAACAAAGAAAAATAAAAATTCACGCAAAAAAATGGAAACACCTAGTAGTCATTTCGAATAACTTATTAAGACAAAAATGGAAACATAAGAACATTAAAAAAGAAAATGTTTATTATCAAAGCAGCTAATCCAAAAAAAAAAAAAAATAGTAATGATAATAAAGTACTTTCTCAGAGTATTTTCTTTTGGTAAAGACCAGTGCAATGAATCTTTTTAAGGGGTAAGGGAAGAGAATCTTATCAAATCCAAAGTAGGGATGCTTTGATACTAAAATTAGCTGTTGCACAGAATGGTAAAAACCACGGGGTTCGACATAAAAAATAATGTACAAAAAAAAAACATTAATGTATAAAAGATATTACGCATACCGGAATCCAAGAGATTAGATTGACAGTAAAATTATAAGTAATGCGATGTAGGACAATAGCCTTAAGACTCACAAAGAAAATCTAGTCAGCTTTAAAATAGACAGAGGGAGCCTTAAAATGAAAAAATAAAAAAAGTATTTTATGCATTTAAAAATAAAATTACTACATAATCCATAAAAAAGAAACCCTGAGTTTTAATCTTTTTGTGTATATAAAATATTAAGATTAGCTAACTTCAGGTTTTCTTGTATTATATATGAATAAATATCAATATTTTTCATGTTTTAAATATATAATAGTATAAATTTTTATTTACAAAATTTTAAAAATAGGTATTTCAGAATGTATACTATACTAAAACAAATTTGTCTTAAAACAAGATGTCTTAAAATAAAAAAAAAATTCTTTTTAGAGATGGTCCAAACAATCTAAAGAAGAATAAGGAGATACTGAGAACAAGCTAGGGTCAAAGACCAAACACAAATCAAGTAGATTAAGGGTTGTCTGAAGAAAAGATTCAAAGTTATCTATTCGAAGACATAGATAAATACAAAAAATACGAGCTTTAGTGTCAGCAGGGTCAGTGGTATTAGAGGCAAGCCATTTAGCAACATAAGCATTAAAATAACCAATAACAACAATATTGGCTGATGGATAAAGAGAAAGAGCTTGGCCAATTTATGCGGTAGTGGTGTAGTGGTAGAGCGCTCGCTTCATAAATGAGTGGTTCCGAGTTCGATCCCCACCACGTCCCTGGTAGTACCGCGCTCAACTCGTTTCTCTGTGCAGCGGCCTTGTTCGTCAAGGTTCGTGTTTCAGAGTTATAGAGTTGAGAGAGGGTTATAGCCACAAAATAAGTAGCCTCCTCGTCTGTAGTGGCCTTCTCGGCCTTGAGGAGGTGAAGTAAAATAAAAATAAAAATAAAAAAAAATTTGATCAGAAATAACATCAAAAAGAAGTCTTGAGCAAGAAGAATGATAAAAGACAAAAAGAAGGGTCATTGAGTGAAGAGGTAAAAATTTCAAGCCAAATAGATGAACTTATATACAAGTGTATGTCAAGGCAAAGCATGTACTGGAGTCATTGTAAATCAAAGATAATAGCCATCAACACTGAGATCTTCTAATCTCAGTGTTGATGGCTATTATCCTTTATTATATTTATTATTAATAATTATTATACCCAAATTTAAAAACAATTAATTAGTTTCTCATTAGTATGTAGTATACTAAAGTAGAAGTCTTTATCTTTAAATTATGTATTTATTCAAAAATTTTAATGCATAAATAAATTGCAGAATTTTATTGAATAGATTTATTTGATAAAGAAACGTGCAGCAACCATATGTATCAAGCGTCCATGTTTAAATCAACCCTCAGAATGTCTTGAAGGCATATGCCTCAGATTTATCCAAAAAAAAAAAAAAAAAAATCAAATGATCACCCTCTTTGACCATTGTTTTTAGTCACACCTATAGCGTGAAATCTTAGGAATTTGCGAAATCTGCAACTTCTGCACCCAAAATCACTTGATTAATAAAATCTTCTGTGAGTTTTTGTAAATTCTCATAGATACCTAGATATTGTATTTATTTATAAAGGAAAAAAAAAAATTCATTTTTTTTCAAAAAAAGTTCATCATCTATTCATTACTCCATAGCAACAGAATTTATGCACTATCCTTGTTTACAACATTTTGCCAACAGTAAGGTGAAGTACAAATAGTGAAGAACTCTTAAGGTTTTAAATCAAAGAAGTAATTTAGGTGTTAGAGTCCTTTTGCTTCATTGAACTTTTTAATGTGTTAGTTGTTATTTAGTGATCGAAATAAATAATAATCTGAAAATAATCTTTGCCCATTTTCTATGATATACAGGAATTGCACAAAATTTAATAGACCAGACAAGCCAATTCAGAAACCATATTAAAATCATGAAAACTCTTAAAGCTTTTTAGAAACTTTTTAGAGAAACTGTTCTTCATTTTTTACCCAACACAAAAAATTTCAGGTTTTTTGACATTAAACTGCGCCTTAAAACTGTTACTAAAATTATTTTACAAAACAAAAGTATTACTATATTGTGTAAATAAACATACCTTGCTCATTCAGAACGCTCAAAGCTTTTAATCGCTCTATCTTTAAAAAAAAAAGTATATATATATATATATATATATATATATATATATATATATATATATATATATATATATATATATATAAAAGTGTTACAAGAACATCAATTTTTATGACTTACTAAATCAGGTACAACAGTTGCAACGCTGTCCCAACTTTTTATTAAAGAGTATAACTCATCTATCTAAAAAACAAAACACAATTGATTTTACACCTCTAAAAATTTTAAGAAGTTATAACAAAGATCATGTTTATATTGAAATCTTAAAATCTGTTTTGTAACAAATTTTTTTAAGGATAAAAATTATAAAAAACTCCAAGAACTTATGTTTCACTCTTATTGCATAAGAGAAACAGCTATACACGTTAAAATAAATATAAAAGCTTGGGGTTGAACGATGTAGAATAGTATTTACTGTTTACATTTACTGTTTAACATTTGTATTTCTTGTGTTGTTCTCTGTTTATCTGTAAGTTTTTGCAATGGAAAACTTTTGTATAAAGGCAAATAAAAAAAAAAAAAAAAAAAAAAAAAACAATTAACCTCAGTGAAGAGAAATTAATTATAATTGCTGAAATATTGGGAGCTGATAATGTTAATTATGCAGGCAAATATAGGAATGTTAAAACTGTTGGAGAAGATTGCAAGTATAAAATAAGATGTTAAATTATAATATTATTAACTAATAACAAATACAAATTTATCACTAATAAATTATTATTAATCATGCACCATTCCTATGTGTGTTGCATACCAAATTAGCATCCTATAAATAGGATCATTTTGTTGTCCTTTTTTTATTAAAATAAAAAAAGTAAACCATTATCTTTTAACTTGTGTACAACTGATTAATTTGTTAAGGTGCAAGAGATTAAACTGTTTTGAAAGTGAATGCAGATATCCAAATAGAAAGATTTGAATGTTTTACTATATGGGAACTAAAAACGAACAAGATGTTTACTTATCTATTTGTATTTAAGATAAATGAAGAGAAAACATGCAAGTAAAAAACCTAACCTGGAATATGTAGTACCTATTTATGATTATTTTTAATGCATTCAGCATTTTTTAAGTATAAGGTTAGTATTTTTTTTCACAAATATTTCAAAACATTAAAAAACATTTAGTTTATTTGACATTTCTCTTAAATGTTATTTAATGTACTTATTTAAATTATAAAATGTTACAACATATATAAAATGTTACAACATATTTTAACATTTTAAGAGAATTGATAAAAACAAGTTAGCGTACAGTAATTAAAAAAAAAAAGAATTCAAAAAAAGTTTGCATTTATTTGATGTCTTTTTGCTGCTTCAAATCAAATTACATTGCAATAAATTAAAAAAAAATTTTTTTTGAATGATAGAAACAGGAGGGAGCACACACCCTCTCATTTCTGAGGAGGCACACCCTTTCCCCTACTTTTTTTGTGCGGACCATTTTTTTTTTTTTAAATTGTCAAATTTTATAAGAAAATGAGGAATTTTTTTCTGAAATGAGGTAGTGTTTCCCACTTTAAAAATTCTGTAAAAACCATTGATTTCTCATCCAAATTCACAAACTTCATGGGAAAAAAATTCAGTTGAAAATTGCATGAATTAACGGGTCCCTGGCACATTTCTAATATACATATGCATATTTGTAATTTATACACATACATATATATATATATATATATATATATATATATATATATATATATATATATATATATATATATATATATATATTAAATTGGGCGTAACAACTGTGTTCCTTCCTTTTTGACCCTATTTAATTTTTTTCCAAGAAATTAACATAAATCATTTTAAAACAATTTTTGGACAATTTTTTTCAATTTATATTGTTTAATAATCATAATTCTAAGTTTATGTATGTATGTATATGTATGCAAATTTTTGATAAGCAGTCTGACATCATGCTGATGTAAAGGGTGAATGCACTGAAGCCCCTGATATCAACATACATTATAGGGGTGCTACCAGGGTCTTCACTATATTGATTGACTAACTAAATAGGAAAAACATACCAAGAGTGCCACTACATTGTCTAAGGATTTGGATTAGACACTAATCACTTTTTTCATTACTAGTCGGGTTTTTTTTATAACTATAAATGAATCTCAAAATATATGAAACACAGTGTAAGATTAAAATAATTTATGTGATTTTCTACTAATTTATTATTGTTTTGTTCTTTTAAGAGCATTGAGCAATCTATTTTGTAGAATACATTTAAAATTACTTGTGTGTGTATATATATGGGCAATTCCAAGGCGGAAAATAAAAAAGTAGTCAAATCTTTTTCGTCAACTTTGAGCAAATGAATATTGATGTAGACACATAAAAGATTATTTAAAATATACCTTTAGTACTAAAATTAATTTATTTAAGTCATTTTTATGCTTCATTGTAAAATTTCATTTTTAAAATGAAAAAAATCATTGTAAAAAAACATTGTAAAATTTTATTGTTAACCATTAATTTATTTGCATAATCGGAATTAATTTAGAGTGAAAACTGAGTTTTTTTTTGTTTTAATGCATCTCCTCAAGGCCGAGAAGGCCACTACAGACGAGGAGGCTACTTATTTGTCGTTATAACCCTCTCTCAACTATTCAACTCTGAAACACGAACCTTGACAAACAAGGCCGTTGCGCGGAGAAACGAGTCGAGCGCGGTACTACCAGGGACGTGGTGGGGATCGAACTCGGAACCACTTGTTTATGAATATTAAATATTACGTTTTAAAATTTAAAGTTTTGAATAACAATGCTTATTTAAAGCACATTTTTATTTTAAATTTGTGTAACATAAGTTAAAACTACATGCATTTACTAAAGTTTTGGTGCTTTTTCAGTAACAAAATAAATTACGTCTTAAGTAATTCTTATTTTGTCATGTTGGTTTGACAAGGTTCTAACTGAAACTTTCAGAATTCAGAAACAAAATCTTTTATTATTTTTTAATGTTAAAATTATTTATATTATTGTTTTTTTTTATTTGTTTAGGTATTCTTATTCTTGTTGACATCTGATCTTCTAATGATGCCCTTTCTCTTTTAGACAAGGTACAAAAATGCATTGTAAACATAGTTGGACCTGCTCTTATAGCCAACATTCAACCTTTGTCACATAGTCATAATGTTGCTTCTCTTTCTCTTTTTTACAAATACTATAATGGGCACTGCTCTAAAGAGCTAGCGTCTTTTGTGCCATCTACTAAAATTCATTCTCGTGTTACTCGTCATTCAATTAAGTCTCATCTTTTTTCTGTTACTGTTCCTAAGTGCCCTAAAAATTCTTATTTGTCTAGCTTTTTCCCTCGAACATCAGTTCTTTGGAATTTGCTTCCTTCATCTTGCTTTCCAAATTCATATAATTTGCGATCTTTTAAGTTGTCTGTCAATCGTTATCTTGCTCTACAATTTTCATCTTTTCTCTTCCAGTAACACTAATTAGTGGTTGCTTGCAGCCTTGTTGGAAGCAAAGATGTTTAAAAAAAAAAAAAATTAAATATACATGAATAAATAAAAATAAGAATTATATAATATTTTTATTTAGACATTAAAAAAAAAGAAAAAAAAAAGGAAAGATTTATTTGTTATTCTCCTAATATAAAAAAAACAAAACAGTTAGAACCTTTATTTTTGTTTTAGTAAAACAAATCATTTGTAAATACAATTAAAGGGGGTTCATCCATAAAGCATATCAGCCAATATTTGTCAAATCCTCACCCCTTTCCTCCTGTCACAAAAATATATACTGAACTGTTTTAATGTCAAAAAATTTTTTAAAGATTTAAATGTAAATACTTTGCAGTATTTTAAAAATTCAACCTAATGAAAATAAAGCAATACACATGAACGTAAGGAGTGTAAGTAAAAACTTTGACACACCCTAGATTTTCTTTAGATGATTCAAATAAGTATTTAAAAAGTTGTAATACTAAAATGATTTTTTAAATTTGCTTTTGGTCTTGCAGAAAAACTGTTTTTGATTAGATAAGAGTGTCACCAGTTTCTTAAAATATCATTTATTAATTATTTTTAATGAATGAGTGCAATACTTTTACAATTCTTTTGTTATGTAACTCTAACTCTAATATAATATAAAAAATCCACGATAATAATCACTCAGTAACAGTGAAGTAACATAAGTTAAATACACAGTATCAAAAAAATCAGTTTATTTTCTTTAGCCAGTCACCTCTGATAAATTTTTAAATATTTTTTAAATTAGTATAGAATTCTCAACATCTTGTGAAAGTTTCTAATACAAACCGCTTTACTGATTCACAGAAATCTCACCTAAAAGTTAAAGCAATTTTTTTACCTTGATTTCTATGTAACGCAAGTTAAGTGTCATTTTCAGTAATAAGTTCACTCTCTTTTGGCCAGGCTCGAAATTTTTTAGCTAATTTTATTTTTTCGATTAACAGCTTTTATAAAAATAGCTAAAAGTTTAATTTAAAATTTAAATAGGAAAATATTTGATAAAGATGTTGCGTGTGTAACCAGTCTTTCACAGAAAGACGTTGGACGTCTTCGTATGACCAAGCAAATTACATTTTGCTATGACAATTTGACCGCGGCTATTTCCAAAAACATTTTAAAAATGTGCTAAATGAAAATTATTCTGAAAAAGTAAAATTAATTACATCAAAGCTTTTTAACAAATGTTTTTATATTAGTAAACTTTTATTATAAATTTATATTATAAAAAAAAAAAAAAAAAGAAAAAGAAAAAAGGGGAGTAGCCTCCTCGACTGTAGTGGCCCCCTCGGGCCTTGGGGAGGTGAATAATTAACATATATATATATATATATATATATATATATATATATATATATATATATATATATATATATATATCAGTTATATATATATATATATATATATATATATATATATATATATATATATATATATATATATATATATCAGTTATATATATATCAGTTTATATATATATATATATATATATATATATATATATATATATATATATATATCAGTTATATATATCAGTTATATATATCAGTTATATATATATATATATTATATATATATATATATATATATATATATATATATATATCAGTTATATATATATATCAGTTATATATATATATATATATATATATATATATATATATATCAGTTATATATATATATATATATCAGTTATATATATATATATATCAGTTATATATATATATATATATATATATATATATATATATATATATATATATATATATATATATATATTATCAGTTAATTAATTTCATATTTTATCAATATAATTTGGAATGTAATAATTTTATATTTATCAGTTAGTCAAAAACATTTGCATTAAAATTGGCGCTCTTTTTTAATTTTTAAAAAGAATTGCAGTTTAATATGCCTTTAATTTTATTTTATTTTATAAAAATAACTGTTTTTCATTTTAGTTTATCAATGATAATTATACTTTTAAGAGAAAAAATTATAGTTTTGCGAGAGCCATATATTGCTCCCGTAAACTTCTTTAGTGAGGCGTGGGCTAGAGCTAAAACTCTTGCTTCTTATCAAGGCATGTATATATATATACATATATATATATATATATATATATATATATATATATATATATATATATATATATATATATATATATATATATATATATATATATATATATACACACACATATATATATATATAAATATATATATAAACACACACACACACACATTCATCTTACTTTGGTTTGATTGATCACATTTTCAATTGTGTCTTTTCTTTGTGAAATCTCATTGATGCAATGAAGCAACCCCTAAAAATATTAAATAAATAGTAACAGCCAAATTCTTACTTAAGATGAAAAAAAGTATATATAAAAAAATTAACCTGAAGACGAGCACTAATAATTTCGATGTGTGTAATATCAAAAAGTGAAAGCTTAGCATGTAATTGCTCTGTTGTATCCTGCAATCGAAACAAAAACAAACAAAAAAAATGAACTTAAACTACACAAAAAAAACGTATTATTTTATAAACAAAAAACAAAAAAAAAAACATACCATTAGTGAGTTGCCTGATGAATCAGATATAATCCTTTGCTATGAAAACAACAAAAGCAACATTTATATTACTATTTGATTACAGTTATCAAAGATAATAATTATCAAAATTGAAGCATTAAATGAAAGGATAAAATCCTTGCTGGGACAATACAATACGTCAATGTGTCCTATTAATTTAACAGAACCAATACTTGATAAAGTTATTTAAATGATTGTATTTAAATTTAAAAACTCAAAAAAAAAAAAAAAATTATATATAAATATATATATATATATATATATATATATATATATATAAAAATAAATAAAATAAGGACAGCTTGGACGGTTGAGTTAAGAACACATACATAATTCATATTTAAAAAGTGATTAAAATAAGTGTAAAAAAATGACATTTAAAATAAATTACTTTATCTTAACAAAAAATACATACCAATTTAGGATTATCTATACCAACAGCAGTTTCAATAGCTTTTAGCTTAGCTTCTAGTTCGCTTATCTGAGTTTAAAACAAAAATGATAATTATGTAATAGCATCTAAATTTCAATATTTATTGAAATATTGAAACAACAAATTATTTTAAATCAGATTTTAATATTCAATTTTTTTAATCTAGCATATAAGTTATTATAGCTACTATTTAAATAACAGCACTAATAAAAATGTCTCTAAATCACTTTCAAGGCATGTGTATTTCAGTAATGTGTAAATCAGGTTACACAAACAATTTAGTTATACAAAAATAATAAAAGTTAAGTTGTAAGTAGAAAAAAAGTATTTTTTAAATTAAAATATATTTTACTTTAGCCAATAACGCAAACTTAGAATGCTCAGGACGATAGTAAATTTCGTAGACAACATCCTATTAAAAAAAAAAAAACTTTCTCAATATAAATAAAATATTATGCACTATCAACAATTGTAAACATTTATACCTTGTGAGATGGATCTTTATTGTCTGGCATTTTTGTTTTAATTGACTGAAGTTGATCAACAATTTGCCTTAAAAATAATAATATTAATATCATAATGTAGTAAGATGTGCATGAAGCATAACAAATGTCTAATAAGAGGACTTAGTAACTGTAGTAACTAAAGTAGTAAGATGTGCATGAAACAAATGTCATGCTAATAAGGGGACTTTAGTAACTACACTCATTGAGTGTAAGGATTTACAAGTTGGTATCTAATCATTTAGTAAATATTTTGTGTCCATAATGACAAAAAGTATTTTTTCATTTCTCCCTTCCTCCCGCCTCTCTCTCTTTATGCGCACTCACGCACGCACACACACAGATATATACATTTTTTTATTTTAATTCACATCCCAATGGCCGAGAAGGCCTTTATTATGTAAAAAGTATTTATAGATTGGTTGTTTTTTATGGCATAACAAGTTGCAAAGATATCAAATATTAACTTGTGGAAACACAGGATAATATTATAGCTAATTAATATTACTAATTAATATTACTAATTATAAACTGCATACTACTTGTAGTCATTAAGAGAAAAAAATATTAAAAAAAAAAGCTGAACAATAAAACAATAGAACATTTGTCTCAAATGCAACAGACATACTAAAAATACTAAATAAGACATACTACTAGAGTTTTTAGTACATCTGTTATTAAGAAGTTAAAAAAGAAAGTCTATTGTAGTCTGTTCTATTACATTTTAAGCTTGCCAAATGGTGATTTTGATGGCTCCATTTATTTTAAAATCGGATGGATCTGGAAGTGGGAAAATTTACTATTACCACTTTTAAATCATCATTATTAACGACAGATCTAGATACCCCTAAAGTCAAGGTTCACTTGAGCAAAGCAAACCAACTTAAAAATCATTATTAGCATAGATGAAAGACTGTAAAACAATTGGATTTTTAAACTATGCAAAGTTCAGTGGGGAATGAATACTACTTACCCTAAAGCTATTAAAATAGATGCATATTGCTGTGTTGGGTCAAAAACCGGGAATGATATCTTTAATAATATATCTTGAATTTTTAACAGACATTGTTTATTAGAATGTGAAAAACAAACTATTGAATAAGGAAGAAAAATTACAGAATAAAATAAAAAATAATCACGAGCAAATAGAAATATGAACAAGGTATAATACTTATTAGCTTATGAACAAAATATATTACAAGATCATGACATAGCATATATTTGATACTAGTAGTGAATATCCTACATCATTTATTGCAAAAATATTACAAAGTGTAAATAGCAAACTAACTGTTATAAACATAATTAACGCAGATGCGGCTGTGGCACAGTGGTTAAAGCGCTTGCTTTATAAGCAGGAGATCCAGGTTTGAAACGAGCTCTGGATATATTTTCGCGTTACGGTAAGGAACTTCCTGGTTAAATGCACTTTCGCGGTGTTTTGTGACAAGATAATACTCTTAAATAATACTCTCATAATACTCTTGGAAATAAGTTAATTATAATATGTACTAATAATTAAAAAATTTATAATTTGCTACAACAAAAGCTATGAAGATTTTGACAACTACTCAATGCAATATTGCAACTTTCTAATCATCCAGCAAATAGAGAATCAATTGCTTAAATTTCTCGGAATAATTTTATTTCTATATTTTATTTAAAGAAAATGGTTGGAAGATCAAATAAACATTGATAGTAAGCAATAAGGTACTTATTGGTATTAGCGATTGTGAGATTAGAGATTGTAGACAGGAAGATCCTGCTAATTTAATAGGGATAATTATTGAAGAAAGAGATACCAAGTAAAAAGTTGGTACTAAATATGAAACATTTAACTGTTCTTGGAATGTGATTGTATTCAACTCACAGAATATTATAAATCAACTGTTGAGGATATCCTCAAAAATGGGAAGAAGACTTTGTGAGAGTTAGTATAATAAGATTTGTGGACAGTCTTAATGTCTTGTGGACAGTCAATAAATCTATATTTGCAATAAAGTTAATATTATTGTTAAAAAATCTCTAATCAAACCATGTCAACCAAACCCTCCAAATTACTATTTGCCTTGAATTGGCTTAAAAACTTTAATTTGTTTAAACTTGTGCAGGTTTACCAGGCTATTTCTAGTTAAAATCAAAAAACAATAGAAATAGTCCATATTTCCTGTAGATTCTTATGACTATGACAAATTTAAAAAAATTTAATATAATAAAAACTTATATTAAATAGCAATAAATATTCATTTTGCTAATATCAACCACTATTCATATAATTTATACATAAGATTGTTCAAACCATCATTTTAGAATTTAATTTTTTTTTTTTTTAACATCTTCACTTCCAACAAGGCTGCAAGCAACCACTATAAGAGTTGGAAGTTACTGGAAGAGAAAAGACTAAATCTGTAGAGCAAGATAACGATTGACTGATGACTTAAAAGATTGCAAATTATATGAATCAGGAAAGCAAGATGAAGGAAGCGAATTCCAAAGAACTGATGTTCGAGGAAAAAAACTAGAAGAATAAGAGTTTTTGAAGCACTTAGGAACAGTCACAGAAAAAGGATGAGACTTAATTGAATGGCGAGTAACACGAGAATGAATTTTAGTAGATGGCACAAGGGACGCTAGCTCCTTAGAGCAGTGCCCATTATAGTATTTGTAGAAAAGAGAAAGAGAAGCAACATTACGACGATGTGACAAAGGTTGGAGATTGGCTGCCAGAGCAGGTCCAACTATGTTCACAATTCGTTTTTGCACCTTGTCTAAAAGAGAAAGAGCATCATTAGAAGATCCGCCCCAGATGTGGCAACAGTATTCCATACAGGGACAGATTTGAGATTTATAGAGATAGAGAATAGAATCTGGAGTAAGAAAGTGTCGAGCTCGATAAAGATATGCAACCTTAGCAGATGCTAATTTTGCAATGGATTTGATATACGGTTTAAAAGAAAGATCAGAAGTAAGAGTTAATCCTAGAAGATGAATGGTAGATGACTCATCTAGTACATTACCATTCATAAATATAGGAAGATCTAAATTATTACGATAACGATTGGCCGAATAAAATTGAGTTTTATCTGAAATAAAGTTCACCAGCCACTGTGAGCCCCATGCTGTAGCAGAAGTGAGATCCTTTTCAAGCTCAGATACCCCCTCCAAGCAATCAGAGAGTGTAGGCTTCTTATCATGACAAGAGTAAATGGTAGTGTCGTCAGCGAATAATGCCACCTTAGATGTGAGAATATCTGGAAGATCGTTAATGTAAATTAAAAAGAGTAAAGGGCCAAGGATTGAACCTTGAGGAACCCCTGAAGTTACAGGATGTGAAGAAGAGTGTTGTCCATCGAGGACAACTTTTATACTACGATTGGAAAGAAAGGACTCAATAATCTTAAAGACGTTACCAGCTACACCATAAGAAGAAAGCTTATGGAGAAGACCAGCATGCCAAACTTTATCAAAAGCTTTAGAAATGTCAAGTGCGATAGCCTTAACCTCTCCACCTCTATCTAATGCACGGTAAAACCTATCGGTTATTACTGTTAGCACATCAGCTGTAGAACGAGAAGACCGAAATCCATATTGATGATCAGAAAGTAAGTTATTTGATTCAAGATGAGAGATTAAGTGTTTGTTGATTAAAGATTCAAAAACCTTGCTTATGACAGGAAGAAGACTAATGGGCAGTAGTTAGATGAATCAGATCGCTCTCCGGAATTTTTGAAAATAGGGATAACAGATGCTGCTTTCCAGCATGATGGAAAACAAGACTCTGATAAGCACTTGTTAAATAGTTTAGAAAGTATGGATGAAAGCTCCGGAGAACACCTCTGCAAGACTACAACAGGAATGTTGTCAGGACCACAAGCTGTTGAAGAGTCTAAGCAGGAAATTACTTTAGATACAGAAGCTGAAGTGATGCGAATGTCAAGCAAGGGATCAACCTGTTTGACGGCTATGTCAGGTAAAACGCAACTAGTGGAATCAAGAGATGATATTGATGAAAAGTTCTTAGCAAACAATTCAGCTTTGTCTTTAGGTGAGGTGACAAAGTCTGAACCATACAAGAGAGAAGGAATAACAGATTTGCCCTTATTATTGATACTGTTAAAGATTCTCCAGAAGTCTCGAGAGCCTAATTTTTGTGATGAGATACGAGATTTAATGACCTGGGAATAGCGAGCTTTGGCGTCAGACAAAACCTTTTTACAATGGTTTCTGGCGATAGTGAACAGATGTCTGTTTTCTGGAGAATTGTTTTGCTGATAGATATGGAAGTAACGGTTTCGATTAGAAATTGCTGCAGCGCAATGTGAGGAAAACCAAGGAGAAAAGTGAGGCTTGACCTGGAATTGTTGAGAGGGAATAAAAGATTCCATGCCAGCCTGAATCCACGAAGTTATGTAAGAAGCACATTTGTCAGCAGGAAGACGAAAGATTTCTACCCAAGGGCCATCACGAAGAAAATCACAGAAAGAGTCCCAGTCAGCTTTAAGGTAGTTGTATGTGGTACGATGATAGAGGGATTCTGATGAAGTAGAAGAATTTGATAATAGTTTTAGAGAGATCAAACCGTGATCAGAAGTACCTAAGGGTGAATGTGGAGAAATTGAGCACTGACTAGGATCCAAAACAAGACATAAGTCGAGTAGAGAAGGTAAATGATTAGGGTTGTCTGGAAAACGAGTTGGAAAGTTGACTATTTGAGTTAGAGATTGAGAAAGGCAAAAGTTGAGGGCCTTAACGCCAGCAGAGTCACTGACACTAGAGCCAAGCCAATCGGTGTGATGGGCATTAAAGTCACCAACAACGACGATATTGGCCGATGGATAAAGGGAGAGGGCTTGGTCAATTTGATCAGAAATAACATCAAGAATAGTGCAACCTTGGGATGAAGGAGAGCGATATAAAACAAAGAGAAAGGCGATAGAGTGAAGTTGTGCTAAACGAAAGCACATAAATGAATAGTCTGTAGATTCAAACCTAGTTTCACGACAAATGGGTGATTTCATACGAATGTAGATGCCCAGGCCAAGCATGTGATTATTGGAGTCTTAACGAATTAAAGGAAGATAACCATTAACACTAAGATCACAAGATGGGACAGCCGAACTCAAATTAGTCTCACAAAGAGCAAGTAGGTCTGGTGAACTTTGCAAGAGATAAGACTCAACAGAAGAAAAGTTACTTCGAAGACCACGAATATTAGTAAATGATAGGTTTAGAGAACTTGGTGATGACAATGGTTTTTTGTGTTTTTTAGTTTTAAGTACTTTAGTCATTTTAAATTTATAAAGAACTTGACTCAAGTATAGATAGTACTCAGTACACTATTTAACAACTAAGCAATAGCCTCATTACTATTAATAAACCCTAAGCCGTAACAAAGGGCTCCAAATGTGGCCTCTGCAATGCACACCAAAAGTACAAACAGGGACACCATCCATGCGCAACATGGCACTGTTAGTACTCTGATATTTTTCGGCTGTTGATGGAATCAGCCTCTCTGAGAGCTACCACAGAGTTCGGAAAACCTGACTACCAGCCGGCCTCAGAACCATAAAACTGAGTTTTAGAGCTGTACCCTCATTAGGAGATAATAGAATGAGTTGCCCAGTCATAAAAATAGAGACACAAGCAATACCCACGCATTGAGTCAAGAAGATCCAGCGTTCAACATCCTAAACTGGAAACAATGTATTAAAAATACATCTGCGCCAGCCTAATAGATGAGGAAGGGGTGCGAGGCTGGTCAACAGATAGAATCTGTTTACCCCTTAAGTCTTTGCCTAGGAGGCCTTCTACAAGACAGCAGCTGGATGCATGTAACATCTGTCCAAGATGAGTATTTTTATCGAGACACTATCTCTAGCCTTTACTCAACCAAGAGCCCCAAGGCAGGGGGTGTTTTAAATCGGAGTTAACTTCTCCTAGCCTTTGCCTAAAAAAGCGTATCCTACAAGGCAGCAGGACATAGAGCAGGTTGTACTGGGTTACATGTTACCAGTAGCAGGAAAACCTGACCTGACCTTAAATTTATTGGCATAATTATAATAATTTTTACCATAATTATAAGCTCTTTCTCGGTCAGAACTCAAAACATAGATTTTATTTATTTTTTGTGAAAATTGATATAAATATTTAGATTAGAAAAATTAGATTAACAAATAACTATCAAACACCTGTTTTATTTACCTTATAAATTATTTTATTCATTAAAAAACTATTTTCAAAGAAAGTTTATAATAACTACTAGTGCTATCAGTTTTGTATTGTTTACTAAAGCTAGTTTTGCCAGTTTTATGTTGATAAGACTAATATTAACTTTGTAATGATAACATTAGGCAGGCGAGGCCAGAAGTTTCAGTAAATCAGTACAAAAAGTATTGATCATATTTACCTTGTCAAGGGTTGAACTCCATGTGACGCAAATACCTTAACAAAATAGTGCAAAATTTGCAAGATTTTTCTAAATTCTATTTTGAAAATTTTTTGAAAACACAAAAGATTTTAAAATAAAATTTTAAAAAAATTTTCAAAATAACCTACATGAGGTCCAAAGTATTTTTCTAACTGCAAATCATGAAGCTAGAAATCAACATAGAAATTCATGAGGCTAGAAATCAATAGAGAATATCATATTGATAAAACTTAAAATTAAATTGATAAAATTCATAAAGATAATATAATATAATTAGGAAGATTAAAAATTTACATCAAAGATCAACAAGAAATAATAAGGTTAAATATACTAAATAATAAAGTAAATCATTGTATTAAAAATAAAAAGACACAAATATCAATGAAAAATAACATCATTAAACTATGAGCGAAAAATTAGATTACTAAAATTGAACAAATAATTTAAATAATTAAGATAAGTAAAAACACCTGTTTTTGCAAACACAACACCTCACTTGATAATGAAACTGCTGATGCATCTTTATTTTCAGAATCCTAATTGATCATTACACAAAAATAAATTAAAGCCTAATTTATCATTAATTTAATTAAAAATAATGATGATTATACTTTACATATAGCCTGCAAAATAAAACTTCATACAATACATATTTTTTGGTAAAAAATTGACAATTAAGTTTCCTAAGAATTTTTGTAAACAATTAAACAGCATTGAATAAAAAAGATTAATTTAGTAAATAAAAATTACTTTTTTTTTTTTCCAATTTTTTGGAAGCTTATTAATTGCTAATAAAGTGAAGAATTACTTTTTCATTTTTAAAGTTTCTTATCTTATTAGTAAAATAGCAGCAAAAATAAAAACAGTTTTAAATAATCTAATAATTTATTATTATTACATTATTTAAAATTGTTTATTTTTACTTTAATGATAAGAAAAGTTTAACAATAAAAAAGTTTGTTCTTTGCATAGTAAATTTATAGTTACAAATATATAAAGAATTAAATTTTGTTAAACTTTTATTTATCATTAATAATAAATAAAACTAAGATTTAAAAACAACAATGAAAAAAAAGTAAGAAATATTTGTTTTTTAAACGTTTATAAACGTTTGAATTGAATAAAATAAATTATTACAACAAATTTATTAAACCAAGTATTTCCATCACTGTGACTGACAATACATTTATGGATAAGCTTTTTATTAGTTGTTACAACTATTAAATAATACGACTGTGGACTAAATCCACTAATAAATTTTCTAAAAGTCAACTAAAATCAATTAATACATTTTGAAATCAACTATTTTTTTGAAGTCAACTTAGTCAAGGTATAGAAATAATTAGTTTTTTTGAAATAAATTGTAACAAAAATAAAATAATTAAAATTTGTATTCTATTTTTAATACCATATCATTTAAATAATAATGGACCAAAACAATATGAGAGGAATGTCACTCTGACAGTGGAAAAATCTATTCCCAGACCTCAATAATTTAGGAACTGCCTTAAAGGGATCCCAAACTCCTAACACATGTTGTTTTCATATTAAAGATAATGTTAAAAAAAAAGGTTTGAACCAAATTTTTTTGATTAAAAATAAATAATGAATGCATACCGTGAAAAACAAATGTTGTTGTTTTTGCCAAAGCTCGTCTTCTCCATTTTTTTCAACTACTCGGAGTCTTTAAATTATACGTCGCAATCTACAGACTTTAACGATTCCTTTGAAGCGCGTTTAATTCATAAAAGTTCTAGTATTTGACGTCACGGTAGACTTTTAACAAATAAAACTCTAGAAATATTTTTATTTATTTTTATTCGAAGTTTTTTTGATTTGTTTAGTTGTTTTTTTTTTCTATTTTTAACATTTAAAAAGATATTAAAAACCTCAAATGTTTTATGCTGGTTCGTTGCTATAAATTGCGCCGTATATTTAATGTTTATAAATTATGAATATTTAATATCGCAAAAATTGTTTTACATTAATTACCCGTATAAAATTAGTAACAGCTTTTTTATTTGGTTAGACGATATTTCGTTTCAATTTGTTTTGCATAAAGTTCGGAAAGTCAAACGAAAAAAATTAGTTTGAATAATCACGTCGAAATATATTTAAAACAAATTATTTTAATGACGGGGGTTCTAAAGTTTTTTTATAACAAATTTAGGTTAAAAAATAAATAACTAAATAAAAAGTTCAGTATTAAACGCCATTTTTTTTATATGTAAATTATATGCAACTTTTTTTATATGTAATTATATGTAATTATATTTTATTATATGTAATTATATGCAACTGTAAATATTGAATTATTAACTTGAACTAAATCTACTTATTATTTAGAACGACTAAGCAATAAAAATAAAATGCCCCTAAAATTATGCGAGATTGTGTTGTTTATTTGATAGTTGGTTGTTTATGTTGATTATTTTCAAAAATATCAAAATAGTTCCAGATTAACCTGTTCATTGCTTTGCTCATTGTTGATTTATTTCTAATTTAATTTCAAAACTATAACTTTTCTTTTTTAACATATAATTATAGTTTGAGATATAATTTTTCAAATTTAATCTCAAACTATAATTATATGTTAAAAAAGAAAAGTTTTTATTTCATCGGGCGCTCTTTTTATAAAAGAGTAGAACAAAAGAGAAAGAAAAGTTTCGTGCAATTAAACTTTGAATGAATAAGAATTGTATAGAATATATATATATATATATTTTTTGCGCCACTCGTTCTTTTTTTAGATGAGAGAAATAAAAGTTTAATAGTAAACTTTCTTTGAATAAATGAGAATTGGAAAAGAAAATTGCTTGAAAATTTGTATTTGTTAATTGTGTTTTTAAAAATTTTTAATTTTTCATGTTAAGAGACAAATGCCAATTGCGACACAAATTTGGAAATACCAATATAATATGTTTATAATGCGCGTTATGACATTTTAACAATTTAAAATTATCTTGAATTATTGCCTTTAATTAATGTGTTAATTATTGCGTTATTTAATAATAATTTGTCCGTATTTTTGTTAAATATTAGTTGTATAAAACGGGCGAAAATATACGAACTTCATGTTTTTTATTTGATGGTTATAAAATATTGAACAGTAAACTTATAATCAAAATTTATAATGCCGACTTGTGTTGCAATTAATTGTACTTTTAATGCAAAATCAGGATTTCACATATCCTTTCACGAATTTTCATATCTGATACTACTGTCAACTGTGTTGTTTAGTGTATTTTTTTTCATAATCTTAACAGGTTCTAATTGGTATAAAGTTGCTGACATTTTAAAAATTTCATTATTAAAAATCAAATGTAAAATAAAATGGTATTTCCTTTTTATCCGTATCCAATTCAGCAAATTTAGCAATTTAAATTAAATCAGCATGATCAAAAAATTTTTTTATTTATCTCTAATTAATACTGTCATTTTCTGAAAGTAATTGTTAATAAATACTTTTTTTCAACGGGAAAACAAAAAATTGTCATAGCGTAAAAATAACCAGAGAAGTTAGAAAATAGTTCCCATTGTTTAAATAAAAATAATTAAGAATCAGAATATATAATACTGCGCTCTCTTGCGCAAAAACAAGAGACCGTATATAAAACGTTCTCTATAATGTAAAATAGTCGTATGAAAATCATGAGATTGGTAAGTAAAGCTTTAATATTTGTTTTAATTTAAATAATTAAAGAAATATAAGTAAGATATATAAATCTAAAAATTATTAAGATATCTGTAAAAAATAAGTTGCTCCTATAAAATAAAAATAATTTATTGTTTTTACTTTTTACAAAGTTTTTTTTGCGATGTTTGGAAAAATAATACAAATAAATTTGTTTTGCTGTATGTTACAGTAGAAAAACGCAGCTTAGAAAAACGCAGCTACCGTGACGTCAAATACTAAAACTTTTATGAATTAAACGCGCTTCAAAGGAATTGCCAAAGTCTGTAGATTGCGACGGATAATTTAAAGACTCCAAGTAGTTGAAAAAAATGGAGAAGACAAGCTTCGGCAAAAACAACAACATTTGTTTTTCACGGTATGCATTCATTATTTATTTTTAATCAAAAAATTTTGGTTCAAACCTTTTTTTTAACATTATCTTTAATATGAACACAACATGTGTTGGGAGTTTGGGATCCCTTTAAATACTTGCATATATATAAAAGTCATTAAAATCATATTTACAATGTAATTGTATAGATTAATGACATTTAGATTTTGGAGATTCACTACTTAATTTTACCCCAGGGCCCCAACCCAGCATGGAGCGGCTCTGTATTAAAGTATGAAAATCACAAGCATTGAATAAACAAAAGAAAAAAAAATTAAAGAAATACATAATCAAAAGTTTAATTAGATATAAATAATGCTAACATGTTATGAAATAGATAAAACTTCAAGTGAGTAAAAATCTATTTTTAGTCGATTAGTAGGAAATCCATAGTCAATTAAATCAACTATTCTATTTTTCAAAGTCAACTAATTACAACTAGTTGACTTTTAATTGATTTAATCGAAGTCAATAACAATACTACTTTTTATAGAAGAAAGATAAAACAGATAAAATACTTTTTTTAAAATCTAAACAAATGTCAAAACAAAGCTAATTAAACTAAAATACCGAAAAACGTCATTAACAATACAAAACTTGGTTGCTTGCAAAACCAATGACTTGTATTAAACAATTTTTTTGTAACCAGTTTCAAAAAAGTAAAAATCCAATAGTGTTTAAACTATGCATTATCAATATAACACAAAAAACAAACAACAAAATATCATATAAAGTTACCTTAAGAGATTGAACCTCCTCAACAAGTGACTGGATTTCGGATTGTAAACGATGATATTTCTGGTGTGGTGTCTCAATGGATGCTTTCTCAGCAATCTAAAATTCACAATCTGTTTACGATTTGATATATTTAAATGGGAAGTTGCTAAAACTCAATTTTGACAGATTCCTGATTTCAGGTCTAATGAGCAAAAAAAAAAAACTTTAAAGCTTTTAAAGTTTCTATTTGTAAAATCTCATATAACAATACAATAAATTGCTGCAAAAATGTTACTCCTATTTTCAAAAATATTACAAACATTTAGAGTTAAAGAATTTGATCTTATAGATGAAATCCTAATAGGAAGCTATTGTCTGTACCAAAAAGCACTAAAAAGGCTTTTTGTGACAAAAACAACTTCAAAATTTTTAGTTTTTTTTTAAAAGATGAGATAAATTCAGTTGACGAAAGTTGCAAGCCTAAAAAGACCTCTGGGTGAATTTCATATCAAGTTAGCACTATGAAGTCTTTCCTTGATGAATAGAGGTTGTATATTATCTTGAACATTCAGCTGAATATGGATTTTAGTTGAAAAAGCTAAAATGAATGTTATATAATGGAAAAAAAGAAGAAAAATATCACTTTTATTTGCTTTTTTTTTTAATTATCAATGTAACTCTAGATTTCTTCAAATCTCTTCAAGTCTTTTCATTAACTTACTTACAAAATAAAGCAAAGATGGAAACTATTTGAAAAAATAAGTCTAGAAAATTTGCCATAAATTAAAAACAAAAACAAACAATAAACAATATTATCGTGACATTGAATTTAAAAACTTTGAGCACAAGTTTAAAATCTTTAAAACAAAACTATTGAGTACTTAGAGTGCTCAATAGTTAGAGGTTGCATTATACAAATGTATAAAATGTTGAAAAGAAAAAGAAAGTTCTTTTAAGGTATACATCCCAAGTATTGAATTGCAATGGTTGGCTTTGGACAACTATAACTAAAAATAGAATCATCACGCAAAGCTTTGATTTTGCAGACAAAGCTTTGCATTATATATATATATATATATAAATCATTTCAAGCCATTAAGCTTTGCTGTTGTTTATCCAAAAATCTTAGCTCAATAGAAACAGTTAACCATACTCAAGAATTTTTACTAAATGTGTACTATATGAAAAATTAATACTAGAATAAAAACTTTTCTGAAAAAAAGTTTTTATAATTCTATTATTATTATTTTTTTAGGGGTAGCTCAAATCCCTTAAACATCAGATGGATCCCTAATATTATTTTTAAAAAAGTTCTTCAAAAGTTCATGTTGGGTCTCAAAAGAAGAAAAATTTTATAAAACTATGATTATTTCAAAAATAATAATTATTTTATAAAAAAAATTATTTTGAATTCCACTGCCTAAATAATTATTTTTTAACTAAAAATAAAAATGTTTTATTGCTAGTTGTTGCTGTATTTCCAATACATGAAAACAAATGTAACCTTTAAAACTAACATAGATATTCACATGCTTGCTAAATTATTTTGGTTAGGTTAATTTTTTGAAATTGTTTTAAATTTCGTTTATTTACATTGTATTAAAATAGACAAGTTTCCTTCTGTAACTTCTTAATATTTAAATTATTTCGATAAAAAAGTTAGTTATTTAGAAATCCAAACTTTACTTTTTTTTATCTTATCTGAATTAATTATAATTGTAAATAATGGTGTTCAATTTTTAAAAGGTTAACTACTTCATTAAAATATTGTTAAAATAAATGTCAGTTATTTCTTTAAAGTTCAATTTATATCTATAGAGTTATTTAAATATTACCAAACAAAAAAAGCTTTATCGCAAGACCTGATCTTTACATCACCCTCAAGTCCATAAAATTTGGATTAAAAAAAAAACTATTACTTTTCTTAGTGATAGTGAAAATAAGGATCTTCTATAGTCATAATACCACATGTTTAATCCACTAATAAACATCTGGTATTTTTGACTAATTGGTACTTTTGATTTTTCAATATAGTATCAAAAGTACTATTACATTAAAACATATTTTTGATTACTCAATATAGTTGAGTAATCAAAAATATGTTATAATGTAACAACTTGACCTTAGGATTTTTTTAAATATTTATATTTATTACTACAAAAGACTTATAATTCTTGCCAATCATATCACAAAAGACATTCTTCCCAATCAAATTTAATAAACCTGAATTAAATTTTAGAGAAAAAATTTTATTTTCCAAAAATAGCTGATGATTGATTGTTTGACCAGTTATTAATTTAAATGTTGTTTTACTTTAACCTAATTTTTTTTTAATAATTTATTAAACATACTTTTTTTAAATAAAAATATTAAATAAATAACTTACAATTTCATAAACAGTTTTAGAGTCGTAGCCAGCCTTATCAGATGTTGAAATTCTGTCAGAAAAATCTAAAGAAACAAAAAATATAAATCGACAATCTTTATTTGCATACCAAGCAAGTTACACAACCTTAACTTTCAATCCAAAGTTAGGATTAGAAGGTTAGATCACCATTTGCATACTAGAAAATTCTAAAACCAACACTGTTTACATTTTGTTAAAACCACTTTAAACAAAAATTAAAATAAGACATCATGATTACAATACAAGATAACAAAGCAATCTACGAGTTATGTTTTATTTAAACATAAAATACAATCACACAAAATCAAATATATTGTACTTTCTCTCTTTAAATCTATTTTTCAATGTTTAAAAATTTTTATTTTAGATTGTAAAGTACACAGTACCTAAAACATTTAAAAATAAAAAACAATTAAATAAAACCAATTAGAACCATAAAAAAATAAAGTCATTTTGTTTGTTTTTTAATAGATTTTAAATTCATAATCAATAACTAAAAAATATATAGTCACAAAAACTCGTTGAAATGTTCAAATAAATATTTTTTTTTAAAACTAACTGCTTTAAACGCTTTCAGCTACTTAAAAACATTTGATTAACATTTTCATTAATTCAAATGATCTACTTCCGTAACTTTGAAAAATTAACTGCTGGAATTTTTTCTATTAATTTATTATCAATTTTTGTAATTGAAAGTTAAAACTACAAAAAATTTAAAAAAATTAAAAGCGAGGCAAACAAAAAAACAAAAAACAAAGCAACAGTGTAATTATATTTATAAAATGATATAATTTTAAATATCTTATAGGTTTTAACAGCAGATATTTCTGACAAAAAAGTTTACTTATTGAATAATAAATAATTTTGATTAGCAAAAAAAGATGATCTTTTTGTTAAGTAGTATTTAAAAAAAATTTAAAGAATAAAAAATGAATTGAAAAATGAAAAGAATGAAAAATAAAGTAAAAAATATTCAAAAACTATAGATTATTGCTTGATAATAAAAAATTGATAAAACACACTATAAGTAAAGCATAGATAAGAAACAATACAGGAGCCACACAAGATAAAACCTTGTGGTACCCCTAAAGTTGCTGGAAATAAAGAAGAGTGTAGGCCTTTAAGAATGACTTTAATACTGCGATTAGAAAAGATTTAATTATCTCAAAATCTTTATGTAAAAAAACTAATAACATAAATAGACAAGACTAATCGTAGGATAATTGGAGAGATCAGAGTGTTTTCTAGATTTTTTAAAAGTTGGATGCACTTAATTATACCTTATTAATAGTTTAGTGTAAAAACTAACATAAAAGAGTTTAATTAAGGTTTGACTTTAGCATAAGAGGCCAGAGTGATTCAGATGTCTAAAGTATGGCCATTAGATTCAAGAGTCAAATTAGAGGAAAAGTTCTTTCCAAATAACTCTAACTTATTCGGGGAGTAAAAAGAGTAATAAGTAATAAGATCAGACTTATGAATTAGAGATGGAACGTTAGACTTACTTTAGTTAATGACACTGTTGAAACTTTTCCAAAATAGATTAGATTTAGTATCTGTGATTAGATTTAGTAAACTAAGAATAATGGAGCTTAGCATCAGACAAGACCTTTTTATATTGACTCTTGCAATAAAAAAAAAAATTCATTTTCAAGAGAAAACTTCTTAAAAAAATATGAAAAAATGATTACGGTTTAATATGGCAACTGCATAAGAAAGTGAAAAACGTGGAGTTGAATGAGGCTTAAAACCAAAGAGTAGGAACAAAAGCTTCCATACCTGTTTAGATCCACGAGGTTAGGTAAGAGGCACATTCTTGCATACATATTATGGATATATATTAAATGC